AGTTCGCATTAATTACGGAAAAAACCTAATTAAGAGGAATAATTTGCGAACTTTTTTATATGCCTCCTTAAAATTAGGCTCCCCGCTTTCATTCTATGTACGTTTTGCCCTGGAAAAACGTGTGTGCAAAAAGTTGAATTTTTTTTTTCAATAGATCGGAGTTGTCTTCCTCCCACACTGTTGCTCCTTGTCTAGCGTCATTAGACAAAGAGAGCAACAGCGCGTGAAAAGGACAGAGATTAAGCTGCGATAGACAAGGAGAGCAACAAGGTGCGAAAAGGACAGACATATAGCCGCGATAGACAAGGAGAGCAACAGCGTGTGACAAGGACAGACATATACAGGGTGTTACCTGTAACACGACACAATTTTTCACCTACTTACAGCCATCTGGCAAAAAAAATTTTAAAACAAAAGTTGAACAGTACAGGGTGTACAGTAGTTTTCAATAAAAATAATTTCGAAAACTGTTTGTTTTCATAGCTAAATCAAGGTCACTTTGGATTAAATAAATATGAACACATAATTTCTTTTCCACCGTATTGTAGAGAATATCGAGACGAATTCAAAACATATATTACATGATATTTTTATTAGTCCATTTACAATAGTGGAAATATGAAACATTTAGCTTCTCGTCGTATTTGATTCTAAGACAGTGTAAACATATTTGACCTCAGATTACTGAATATAAACATAAACAACAACTAGAATTTATTTGCAGTTTGTCATTGCGGTTCCTTCGTTTCATATTTCCAATATTTGGTGCAAAGTAATCGCTTGCAACAATGTGTTCTTTTTCTAATTTCAAGATAGTTGAAATGCTGTTAATTTTTGGCGAATGCAAGAGAAATTCTCGAAAAGCTACTACAGTGTACAGAGATAGATTTCCGCAACGAAAGCAACCTTCTGAAGCAACAATTTCCATTACTATAAATGGAGCAACACGTTAATAAAAATATAATATGTGTTTTGAATTCGTCTCGATGTTCTCTACAATAACACGGTGGACAAAAAATTATGTTCCTATTTGGAAGGTCTCATTATAATGTATTGTAAATTAGTACTGTTTTATATATTTATTTGTCACACGAGTCACGACTTCTTGAATTCAAGTAATTTGTTTCAAAGAGAAAAGATATTCGTAAAATAATTGTTTGATTAATGACTAATTTAAGATATTGAATAAATATTCATGTTTGACAAATTAATAGTAGAATATAAAAGACTAAATTAGTTAAACAGTTAATTAAAATTTCTTAGAAATGTATTAGTGGCTCGATTACTACAAATGATCAATTAAAAATTTTAAATAATACTTAGAAATGTTATGGAAGAGAATTATTTAATTGTTACAAATAAATTATTAGAAATATTAGATAATGTTTAAACAATTATAAAGGAGAATTTATTGTTTACTTGTTACAAATAAATTATTAGAAATATCAGATAATTTTTTAACAAATAGAATATTCAGAAATATTATTTAAAAATTCAGTCCTAAATTTTGGTCGATATGCACACGACGGAAGTTTAATACTTCCAAAAATACTTTTTTTATTCAATAATCAGTAATTTTACTCTTTTATTGTTTCATAGCCTCCATCAGAACGGAGGAAAATATGAATGAGGGAGGAATGTTTTAAACTCATAAAATGTTAATATTAACATATATATGATTAAGTCCCTCATACTTTATACCATCTTTATTAACAATTTATAACAATAAATGATTTTGACCGTCGAAAATGCAACTCAGTGAGTTCGTCCTAGTAAATAACTTGTACTATAAAAAAGAAAATATGTATGGTATCGTTCAAAAAAATAAACTTGACTTCGAAATTTCGAAACGGATGAATTTTGCAAAAAATAATTTACAATACATAATGTGCTTCTTTATTGCAAACAATATTTGTAGAAATATTTTATTAATAAGTTCAAACTTTCATAAAATCGAGTTTACGGAATAAAAATAATTCATTCATGTTGTGAATTTACAAATTTGTAAATAAAAAAACGTCATATCTAATTATATTGTTCATAAAAATATCATATTTCAATAAATTTCTTTGAATACTTTTAAATATATGTTAATAGTCAAATATATACCAAATTTTTCATCTCAATTTTCATCAATCTCTGTTTTAAATTGTATTCCTTCATTGATGAAGTATCACCACGTTCAATTCAATGAATAATTTTCGAAATAAATCTGGCAACACTGTCCATATTTTTTGATTTTCGCGGTACAAAACTTGCCTGAATCGGTATGACAAAATGTGACACGAAAATGGTAACAGGATCAGCTGATCCCGGAATCGTTGGCCGAAAAAATACATTATATGCTAGGTCTATTCATATATTTCGTCTGTACTATGGTATGTACTAGTTTATATTTCGATATTCAAAGTTTGACAATACTATAATAGATTTCAAAAATGCTTCTGTCACATTCACAGCTTCGATCGTTTTACTTAATGTAGTTCTCACACTCACCGTTAGTATGTGTAGAGTGTGCTAAAAAATCCGTGATTTTTACTATGTCGGTATTTCAGGTCATGGACCACAAGCCCCGTAAAAAGATGTTTAATCTGTACATATATCTCGTCTATGATTAAACATTAATTCTTTGCATTTATTTAAGTACATTAATAATTTTATTAATTTATATAGATAAATTAGTAATTTCATTAATTTATATAGGTGAATTAAATTAAATATAATACGTAATTATTATATAATAATTTATTCAATTTTGTATTACAATTTCATAAAACACTTATAGCTCATTGTCAGAATATTACATTTTCTATATATATATATTAATTACAGTCGAATAAAATATAAATTGTAATATTATTAGAAAGGTTTACGAGCTGTATTTACAACTACTTACAAGTTCAATTAATTTTCTGCATAATATTACTATCACTTTTTACGAAAATAATAAATTGGTGATAAATTTTGGTGAATGTCACATTTGGTCATTATATTTTTATTCGGAACGATTTACATAACTTTAAGAAACTATAACAATTTTTTATTTGCACTGTCAAGTTTAATGTATTTAAGACAAATTCCAATTTTTTATAAATATGTTTTCTTAACATTGCGTTCAATCTATCAAAAAAATCGTAAATCGCAATTCCAACAAAATGGAAAGTCACTTCTCTGAACATTAATCTCTTAAATAGAAAACTCAAATATATATGTACTTAATTGAACAAACTTGAATATACATTGCTTCTTAAATAAATACATTAGATTTGACGACTTAATTTTAGACAATGATTTAATAATTTTTTCCAATTTGGCACAATTTTCTAAACATTTTGCAATGATACTTCCTCATCTTTTCAAATAATAATTCACTGGCGGTATGAGCCAATAGTTAAAACATCACGTAATTTATCAATTTATTCTTATCTCTTGTAACGTCGATTCATTAATAGTATAGTTACCGAAAAAATATAGTTTCGACTATAGTTACATTGCGGCTCTGCGATAAGGTTAAAGCATAAAAAAAAGAGAAAGAAAGAAAGAGAGAAGAGAAAGCGCGTTTCGTTTGGAATAGTAATCTTGTCAGTGCGTAAGGCTTCTTGGTAAGGCCGTGATTGAAAGTTTAAAGCTTAAACGATGAAATGGTGAAGGATGGTTACTGAGGATTCAAGATTTATGCGTGATGTGCATCCCTCTGGTGGCGAATATAGGAGGGCCGTCACAAAGTCACAACATTAATACGTGACCGCACCCGTCTCTGTGTGGTTATGTGCGGTGATTCATAGATATCGTATGTAAAATTTATCGAATTCTTGATAGAAAGTAAAATAAAAAATGACAGAGGTTCATAACTTAGGTGTTGATGCTATCAGTTGTCATGCTTGGAATAAAGACAGAAAAGGTTTGACTTTCGTTTGACGTTACCAATGTCTTTGCCAAATCAGTGATTGGTCTTGATGGATTTCTTTTATTTACAGAAGTGGCCATTTGTCCAAATAACAATGAGATTCAAGTTTACAAACGTACATCCAGCGGTTGGAAGTTATTACAAAATCTACAAGAGCATGACATGCATGTCATGGGTATTGATTGGGCACCAAATACCAATCGAATAGTAACATGCTCTGCAGATAAGAATGCGTATGTTTGGACACAAGAAGGAGATGGAAAGTGGAATCCTGCATGGGTGCTTTTGAGAATAAATCGTGCAGCAACTTGTGTGAAATGGTCACCATTAGGTACGATGCTAGTTAAACCATTTGCTAGATCAGGTATAAACAAAAATATAAATGGAAGAATTACTTATTTTGTCCTTTGCAGAAAACAAATTTGCCGTTGGTTCTGGAGGTAGAGTAATAGCTGTTTGTTATTTCGTGTCTGAGAATAATTGGTGGCAGTGTAAGCATATAAAACGTCCATTGAGGTCCACCGTAACTACAGTAGATTGGCATCCAGATAATAAAGTTTTAGTTGCTGGATCTACTGATTACAAAGTTCGTGTATTTAGTGCATTTATTAGTGATATGGAAGATGCACCTGGTAATGGTCCATGGGGCCACAGTAATACTTTAGGAACGTTACTTGCTGAATTCCAAAATACTCCCAATGGAGGTACTTTTTTCTTTTTCTTTTTTTTATTAAAAATGTTAACAAATATATTTGTTAATCTTTTTTTTATTTACTTGTAGGAGGTTGGATACACTCTGTTGTATTTAGTCCTTGTGGTAATAAAATTTGTTGGGTAGCACACAATTCATCAATTTGCATCGCGGACGCTACTAAAGGAAATGCAGTTATACGATTGTACACAGAGCATTTGCCATTTTTAAATTGTGTCTGGATGGGGTCCAATTCCATTGTTGCTGTGGTATTTATTTATATCTTTGTATTTGATAATTTTCAGCATAAACATGTAAATCATGAACTAAGTATAATCTAAATAATTTCCTCAGGGACATAGTTGTATGCCTATGCTGTATTCTATAGATGACAATGGTCAATTATATTTTGTATCAAAACTAGACAACACTCAAAAAAAAGAAGCTGCCGGTTTGTCCGCGATGCGTAAATTTCAATCGCTGGATCGTCAAGCGAGAACTGATACAAACGATAATGCCTTGGATAGTATACATCAAAATACTATCAATTGTGTGCGTAAAGTATCGAATAACGAATTTAGTACAAGCGGTTTAGATGGTCAATTGGTAGTTTGGGATCTCAAGGTGAATTTCAACAGTACATCGTTTCTTTTACATTTATGTGATCAACATATTAGTATGTTAACAAACTAATCTGGTTGTTTAATTTAGCTGCTGGAGAATTCCATTGCTGGTCTGAAGATAGCATAAGTAAAACTTTTTTTTTATATCGGAGAGAGGGAGACGAAAAGAAAGGGAGAGAGAGAGAGAGACGAAAGATATTACATCAACTGAAAAGATGTATATGTGTTAAATCTAAAACGAAAAGAAAGAAAATATACAATTTCTCATTAACACTTCAATTATATCAATTACTCCTATACAAAATACATTATATTTTTAGCTAAACGTTTGTCAACACGTGTATGAGATAAATTAATATTATTCCTTTTCCGTATAATCCACGATCCTAGCAATTTAAAGCTACTGCGTTCCCTCGACCTTCTCTGCGCCATCGTACACATCGCAACGAGTAACGCAACACCCTCCTCAAATCGTCGAGTGGTTTTATATAGTTTCAGGCGATGCGATAAGTACGTCGGTTCACCGTTCGTCAGGCGTCAAAGGTTTGTTCGCGCCTGGAAACCACACGGTCTCGTGCAGCTTGAGTGGGGGGCAGCCGGACAAGTTCAGCGCGAATATCGATTCAGTCTCGCACAAACCACCCCCATGTACCGTGCCCGTTGCAGCAACTCCACCTTCTAACTTTGTTTTCTGCTCGGTGTCATGACTGACACATAAACAGAGCGAGAAAGAAAGAAAAGACTGTGTGCATAGTGTATACATCGTGCTCATCTATGAACGGCGAACGGATACAGTGACACGACGTTCGATCGTTTCGGCAACTGTCGAAGCGATGCATTAAACGCAAAGAAATCAAATTGTCGTCGATTGAAACGTTTCTGCCGATGATGCTTATCGATTCGACAGCCAGTCTTGAAAAGGCATTCCGTCGTTTGCACAGTTTTTTGTGAGGTGATCAAGTTCATTACATAAACTCGAGGTGTGACCAGCGGGCGTGATATTTTGTTCGCTGTGTACGAAGGATATTAGTTGTCGAACGGAATTGTATTTGTACTATATCGTAACTTCGTATCTTCGTCATTGCTCCTTTGTTCTCTTTCTTTTCTTTTCTTTTCTTTTTTTTCTTCGTCCACTTCTGTGTCTCTGACATTATAGATCTTTCGTCGAACGATTCACGCGACTGTCACGAGCTGTCGATTAAAATAGATCCTTCCAGCAAAACGTTCCATCATCGATTTGCCGTGTGCGACGAGCTCTCTCGAAGGGTTGCGTTTCGTTTTTTTCGGTCACGCTCGTTGATACGCCCGATAAATTTAGCAAGCTGTTTGAAAGTTACAATCGAATGACTTTCATGGGATTAACGGTTGACTTTACGTGCTGGGAGATCTCGTGATCTCGAAGGAAAAAAAGAAAAAGAAAAAGAAAAAGAAAAACGAAACGCAGCAAAAGAACAGAAGGGTGGCAAAAATACCGTGCAAAACTAGAAGTTTGAGTCTTGTTCTTGTGGTTATCGAATATGAAACGTTCCAACCACGGCCACACGCATCCCTATTTGTCTTGACTACGAGTCGTGGCTGAGCAAAGGGAGTGCGCCTCCGCTTCTTGAGAGATGTCTTCGATATCAGCGCAGGGGGTCGTCGAAAGAGCCAGCGCCGAATTGACCAAGAGAATCAACGGTCTGGGGCTGAGAGCATCTAAACATCATGGTTGGTAAATTACTGATCAACATTATTTTTGCTTTATTTGCTTTTTTAAATGTACGACCGAAAAATGAACTAAGCGAAAATATTGGAGAACAACCGAGTATTTAACCACGATATTTTTTCAACCGAGCTGATCTAAAATTCCTAAGATTTGTTAACGTTGAATTCTTAGTATAATATCAAGAGATAAAAAAATATAATCAGTAATAAAATATTCTTTTGTGCTTTCTATTTTTAAAATTTAACAAAAGAAAATCAACATATTAACGTTATACTAAATATACAATTAAATGTGACTGACGTTTATCAGGTTTCTAAGACACTGAGAATAAATTGTTAAGCAATAAACTCAATAGAATAGAGACGATCCTCTAATTATTTCGAGCACCTCGTAGCCCATTTTATCCTTCGTGCAAATGGCCCTCCAGAATAATTTAAAATCGATATGTAACTTGGGATCGCCGAGCTTTGACCTAACTTGAAGAATAATTGTCGAATTACAGTCCAATTCTTTAAGAAAAGACTTTCGACAATATATTGTTGCCAATTAATTTCTTCTTTCACTGCCTAAGGCTGATTTACTGTTTCATGCTGGAATTTTCATTAGGGCATGGTAATCGACGATTTTTGACTCAGCCATTATTACGTAATCATAGTGACAAATTGATTTCTGTTAAATCGCAACCTGAGCTCCTTTAGTGATGTTTCTTAATTCTGTATTATGCAACGTCACCCGGGTATTGGTTGATCGCCCGGCGTTGTCCGAGCAATTCTCTTCCGGAATACTCGTTAAAACGACCACCAGGTGCTTTTAGTCGCAATCTGAACTGCAATGGAATCAATAGCATTCGTCCTCGTGCACGTGAAAACGTAGAAACAGAACTGACCATCTCATCATCTTTTACCTTATGTTCCATTTTCTATTTGTTCGAAAATCTGGAAAAAAGATATACGTGAGGAGTTTGTCTTCAACATCGTATGATTTTTGATGATGACCTCCTTTTATGAGATTGCAAGCATTCTTAATGTATCTTACAACCTTATATATTAATCTTATGCTTTTCGCAAATAATTTTGAAGCGCGTTCAGAACTTCTGACTTCATTTTTTTTTATTGACTCTCATTTAGAAATTTGAATTTAAATTTCATTTTTGCGATAATCTACTTATGCATAAGCCCGTTGACAATATTGAGACTATATGCCAGTGATCAGATACTGTATAACGTATTTATGTATACCAGTGCTAACTATTCGAGAAAAATCTGTAACATTTTCAAATTTGGAAAATTTCAGTAAACCAATTTAGTAAACCTCGTGCATTATTAAAGAATGTGGCAAAAATGTTGGATTTCATTGTTAGCTAAAATATTTAACTACAATCAATACTTGCCCTGATTTTCGACTATTCACATATGAATGCTAATTAAGTACTCGGTATTTTGCTAACTGGTCATAAGTTGGGAACACATCTGGCCAGTTATAAATGAAAAGTTATTCGTAAAAAATATCAAGCATATTTTTTCTCCATTGAATGTAAATAAAATGCAAATACCTAATATATTTCTTTATTTTACATACATGCGCTGCAAACTTACTCTCCAAAATAATTTCCAGGAAGTAAAGAAGTTAACAATGGTTAGCAAGGCTATTGTACAAGAATACTCTGGAAGTTGATTTAAAATTTTGTTAACTTCAATCTCTCTTAGACTTAACATAATTTAGTACAAAATATACATACATTCTTAACATTATAGCATTCTTCGTATTAATATTTTTATTTCTGTTAATCATGTTATGTTCGATATAATAATTCATTTTTCAAATGGAAATTTTATAAGATTTAACTTTTCTTCGGGTTGATCTGTACAAAAATATAAATGAGTATTTATATCAAAATATAAAATAGATATATACAATAAATCACAGTATTTAAACATTTGTCACAAGATTTTTATGTATGTATGTATGAAATTTTTTTTGTATTATTTTAAATTTCATTAGCATTGTAATGATGAAACTTTGAAACCAAACTAAAGGAATAAATAGAAGTTAGAAGACATTTATTGCAAAGATACGTTTTATAAAAAAATTAGTAAGTAATATAATATGGACACTCTTGTGTCTTAAATCTTTGCTAATCATAATGATTGGACCTCGTAAAATTACAAAATATTTCGTATAACATGTTTATAAAACATTTATAAAAGATTCAAATGTACGGTATTTAAGATATACTTATAATAATACTTCGAATACTTTTGTGAACTGCTGTACATACTTGCAACAATAATACCAGCCATCAATGGTCAAGCATTGTGTACTTCGAACGTGTCACCTGAATTTATTTCCACCGCTGTTAATTATGGTTAATTGTTACCGCGGGAACATTGCACAAGTTGACAGGAGTAGGTCGGCGATTTAGAGGCCGGAAATATCGGTGAATTGGCGATTTGTCGCGTTTGACGAACGCGAGAGGCCGAGCATCGGATTTGAATTGAGAGACAAAGGGCCGTGTACGCATGCCTGTTTTCCCCGCGGCAGAAAGGCCACGACAGAACGAGAGATTTATTTTAACACATAAAATAGGCAATCACCGTGGCTGGATTGCCGCCAGAATCCCTGTACGACAGATAAAATCGGGGAGGATCGACCAGACTCCTCTTCTCAGACGATTAATCATTTATTCTTGTGTCGTAGTACGATCGTTTCTCATTTCTCCAAGGAGAGGCTCAAAAACATTTTCCTAACCTTATCAATGAAACTTGAACTGCAAAATAATAGATTGACCGATAATGGGCTTCAGTCGAATCTCAATTTTCTTCTTTCATCTGCAAAGTTAAAATTATTACGAATTACGTTACGCAAGTGTAGGAGAATTACATTCAAATTATTGAGGTTAGGAACTTTATTGTATGCACGTCTATCTCTCGAATGAAACAAAGCTCTTCTTTTTCTTTTTAGATTAATGTAATATCGTCGCAGCTCTTCAAAATTTTATCTTTTAGTTATATATATATTTAAAATATTTCATATATATACGTTTACTTTCAATTTTCTCTTTTCGAAATTCTGCACCTCCTGTAATGTTTTATTTCATATACCATAGTTACCTCGTCATTGTATGAAACAATAGTATCATTATAATCCTGGCGTTATAGTCCTGCGTTCGTTGTTAGGAAACTACATTCACCTTTTGAATACAAAATAATTTTAATCTTAATTAGCTCTCGAAGATTGATTAAAGTCTCATTAATTCGCCATTTAAAATTGAATTATTATCTCGAGAACAATAGAATCGACAGGCGTAAAAAATTTTATTTTCACGTAAATACAAATGATTGTGTATGAACTCTTAAAAAACTGATCGACATTAATTATAGATCCGAAATGCGCACCATAACCTGTTCTTTAATTATTGTTACAATGCAATGTTTTGCAATGAAGTGAGTTAGAAGATTTTTCAACAGTCCGCTCGATCGATACGATCGATTCCTCTGATCTCGAATATTGACTGTCATTTCGAGTTACGTTACGTGATAGAATCGAATGCAAACAAATGTCTCGCATGAGAGTGTGGAACTGTGGTTCATTCGTCGGTGTACGCGATCCGAGCGGGGAAAAAAATGCTTGTCGCGCGATAAAGAGATAGGGAGAGGAAATAGAGACGTGCGCGGAGCCAAATAGGACATACAGCTCGAAAATAAAACGAAAATAACTGCCGCATTTTCGCAACGACTTCACCATTGTAGAAATACCTTTCAAGACGTACCTGCCAGTCCTTGTTGCACGCTGTAAACGTTCGAAAAATCGATTCTTCTATCGATTGATATACAGGGTGTCCCGCGACTCGCGGTCCACCGATCGGCAGGTGATTCTATGTGTAAAAATGTGTCGAGAAGAAAGAACGAAATTTTTTCATTAAAACCATAGAGAAAATCTAGAGTATATGAAAATTTGTGAAGTATACTTGAACTAACTCCAACCGCGACAAAAAAGAACAATTGACAAAGATTATTCTAAGGTGCGAAAATAAGTAGAAAATGTGGAATAAAATTTTTTTGTAAGACACTCCGTTTTCGAAAAGATCGAGTTTAAAAATTTATCAAGTACACGTGCATTTAAGGTAATTTTTAATGAAACGAAGTTGATTTTCTCGAAAACAACATCTTAAACGAAATTCTATTTTACGTCTTTTATTTACTTCTGCGCAGAACATCCTTGTGTTGATTACTCTCGCCTATTTAGTGTGGAATTAGAATTCAGATATAGTTGATAAATTTTAAAACCCGATTTTCTGGGAAAATGGAGGCTCAAACGAATTTTATTCTTTCTTTTCGACACATTTTTACATGTAGAATCATTTCTTAATCGGTTGATCACAAATCGTGAGACACCATGTAGAATTCTTTGTCTATACATAATGACTTCAATGTTTTTATAGATAAAAAGGAAATCTTTCATATGTAATGTTTTAGTTTTTTAATTTCTTTGACATTAATTTCAATTTACAAAATACTTGATCAAAGAGTTGTTTGTTTATTGAAAGAAATTTATATTTTAGATTATTTCTTATATTTTATTTCATGTCTTATTTATATTTATGTTTTGTAATTGATCGTGAAAATTGGTACGAAATTCTGATTTAAACATCACTGTAAATAATATATTGTGAACATTTTTAATAGAAAAGCAGAGATCATTTCAAATTATTTTGACAGAGATAATCATAAATTAGTAATTTATAAATTATTTCAAAGTACTGTCCAATATCAGTAAATTGAAAGGATTAGTGAACGAGGAGGATATTAAAACAAATAATGAGAGAATATTAAAATAAAATTATACTCGAGATTATTTTTATAAAGTTCTTTGTAAATCAATGGCTATTGGTTTTATGTTAGTGAAAGGATAGTTCATTCTAAACTTGATTTACAGGCGAACATCTTGGACATTTACATCCATGAATAACGTAAGTTTCCAGCTGTAAACGAACGTTCGATCACGAGTATTCACGATCGAGAAAGTAAATATCATTTTCGAGAAAGAAGAGAAAGAGCGCCTTCAGCATCGGAGAGTTTTCTAAAATACATTTCCTCGGCATCATTCCATATAATTACAGTACGTTCATAATGAAAAAGCCATCGAAAGATTAATAAATTGTTGTGAACCAGTAAATAATATGCGAATAAAACGAATTGAGTATCAGTTGATAGATGAAATAAAGAATGATGTATTTAAATAAACCATGGGAATGTTTCAGGTGGGGGAAAGGCGAGCGTCATGGAACGCGTTACGCACGTGTTCTGCGGGAGCGGTGGAGTTCCGTATACGAATTTGCAGAGCGCGAATAATGCGAACGCAACCCCGGAAAAGCCGAGCAGAAGCGTGCCAGCATCGATGAACAACATGCCATCGGCGAACAACAAGACCCTGAGCAACGTCGGTACACCGAGCAGGGCAAGGATATCGAGAAATCGAGCAAAGAACGTGCCGTTGGCGAGCGGTGGAACAGGCGGATACGTTGCGCCTACCACGTGGAATCAGCTGATGCAAGACGATCATTTCCTCAGCAAATTCTTCCTCTACTTCACCGCTATCGAGAGGAGGATTTTGGCTCAGGTGCCAGCAAATCAAATAATCTTTATTAATCAAACTTACAATAGACCTGTACTCATCTTTGTTCTCCTTTTCTTAATGTGTTAACACGTTCCGTTTCCAGAGTGAAGTAACAATTTTTTTGGCAGGAACGTCCGCTCGAAAGAGTTACGCTAAAATACGTAATCGAAGAGGAATAGCGCTTGCGCTGAATACCTGATACTTTGTCATTTTCTCTTCTATCTGTTTTACTCGGACTATATAGGGTACAGCTGAGAATAAAGCATATACATACAATATACGTATAGTACAGTATATGCATATAAAATAGAAAATGATTTTTTATGTCAGAATAAATCAAAAGTTTGATATATAATATTAGAAAAATATTATGTTGAATATTAAACTTTATAATATTTTTTCACTAATTTTTAAGAAACTTGATTTTGAGAACTTATATCGTATAGTAGAAATTCATTGATTCTTTCTACTATGATATTTTATATTATCTATGATTCTTTCCACTATCTATGATAATGTAAGACTGAGAAAAATAGATTTTGAATAAGTAAATAATTGATATAAAAAGTCACGCAGATATTGTGTAGAAAAATAATAGGTTGATTAAAAAATAATAGAGTTCAGCAACATTATAATTAATCCTCAGATGCAAAAATATTATTTTATACACGTAATTTAATTTTATATATGAAATCTCTTTATACAATACTTTGTATAACATCTTTAGCTGTACCCCATATACGTAATTACAGCTAGTACAGAATATTTTACCACCAAAGTAGTTTTTATTTTTATCGTAGGATCGTCAATAGCTTACAAAAAAAACGGAACGTATTTAACGCGCGATTCTTGGCATTGATTCATCATGAAATTGAAGATAGTAAGGATTGACAGTGTGGATTAGATAATAGTCGTCTTCTTGCACGTGCAAGATAATTCTCTTGCTCATAAAATAAATCACTTGTGATTGAGGAGAATTTTGTTGCAAGATGCTTTGTTAAACGACATGTTTGTTTAGTAGCGAACGTCAAGCTTGTTGGCTACCGACCTATGTCATAGATCCATATATATAATGTACTAATTTGAAGTTAAAAGCACTGTTTGATCATACATGCTGGCATTAAGAGATTTCTCATATTGATCGTTCGCGAGAGATCAAACTGATATGATCTTGCGTATGTTCTATACAAAGATCTTAACTTTGAGTTGGTTCTGATTCTGGTTCTAGTTCCGATTAGCCAACTATGATTGTTGAATCATAGTTGACCATTATAATTCAGGTTAAATTTTAAATTATTAATAAACTATAAATTTAATTTTTAATTACATATTTTACTCGATAAGATCGTTAAGTGTCTTTAATGCATAAAATACAGAATACGAGGTAAAATTAAATAACTTGCTCCAAACTGTTGAAAATCAGTTATGTAATCTGAATTAAGAATTAAAGATCTATATTGTAAAAGCATTTTAAACCAGTAAACACTAATTTTTCTCTCTGCTTAAAATAATAAACTGGACAATAAGTATAAATTTATAAATAATACAGCTTATGTAGAATATAGCTACTTAGAGAATCTCTCTAATATGTTACACTGGAGGAAGAATCCTTTAAAGATATAGTTTAAAATTTAAACAGACGTTTTCCTACTTACTTTGAACGGCCTACTAATATTGATTTAATCTTGATGCAATTTTTATATAAGACGTTTTTATATAAAGCATTCCAGGAGGTTCGTCTCATAGAGTTCTACACAACTATGCCAGAGTAATCCGCGATTAAAAATGGAAGCGTCGTGTGCGCGTTTATAAACATTTTATTAAGCAGTCGTTACAAACATATGAAATCATTCTGGCAAAGTTTTCTGGAAAACTTTATGTACCTAAAAATAAAGTGGAAAATGTAACAACATTGAGATTCCACAACCATAGTTCTTAATTTATTCTATGGCAAATATCGACACCTGAAATTTTTTATCTTTGATATTATATGTTCATTCCAATGGTATACGAAAATAAAGCAAAAATGTAATGATTCAATAACTTACAGGTATGCTTGAGATGGAGAGATATACTTTACGCACGACCTCGACTCTGGGCAGGCTTGGTGCCTGTGGTAAGGTGTCGCGAGGTGCGTGCTATGCCTCCTAGTTCGCGCACACGGCTTTACGCCTCCTTAGTAAGGAGAGGCTTTCATTCGTTGGTTCTTCTCGGCGCATCAGACGAGGATATCCCGGAATTGACGCATGGATTCCCGTTAGCGCAGAGAAATATTCACTCGCTGTCGCTTAGATGTTGTGCGATTACTGACAGGGGATTAGAAGCTCTTTTAGATCATTTACAAGTATGTCTACATCTATATATATTTATTTATTTCTTACTACAAAACAATCATTAAAAATTTCATTAGAAGAATTGAACGCTACTACATTTTGATTACAAATTAAAACTGCAAGAGAGTTTTATTACTGTGTAGCGTGCAAAATGAAAATTTTTTTATTTCAAACGTTCTATTTATGTCATGTTAAAAACCGGCAATGAAAAAAGTTAAACGAATTTATGTAAAATGTGCGCTGGGGATGAACTTTATTTCAAGGTCATTTTTTTTTCAATTTCCGAGATCGAAGAATGAATTATTAGGATATTTAAAAGGATGTGAAAACAAGTTAAGAGTATGTAGTTACTTGAAACATCTTCCGTCTAAATACAAATATTCAAATCAATCTTTTTAAATATTGATTACGCACATTTTGTTCTGTTATTGTATATATGTTATTTTCAGGCGTTGTTCGAACTTGAATTAGCGGGTTGCAATGAGATAACGGAAGCCGGATTGTGGACTTGTTTGACACCTAGAATAGTATCATTATCCTTGTCTGATTGTATCAACGTGGCCGATGAAGCTGTCGGTGCTGTCGCTCAATTGCTGCCAAGTCTCTACGAGTTCTCGTTACAAGCTTACCATGTAACCGACGCCGCCCTTGGATATTTCCACGCCACTCAAAGTAGCTCCCTTAGCATCCTCAGGCTGCAATCCTGCTGGGAACTTACTAATCATGGTGTAGTCAATATTGGTAAGAGATCTTTCATTTGAATTGCAACACATCTGTGAATAAGATATCTCGCCATGCATTACCATCCATGCAATGCTTTCGATAAGATATGTGGCTCATAGATTGGAATAAAAATCAATTCGATTAGTGGAAACAAATGCAAGACATAGAAGTTATGCAACATCTGTTTCTAAACTGATGAATCTTTGGAGGCAAGCAACATCTTCGTAAGAAATCTGTAGAGAATTTTCATTGAATGTTTAGTGATATGAAATTATAATAGTATATAAATAAAGTGCAATTGATCAATTTTCAATGCTGTGATAAAATGACAGTCTGTCTTTTTGTTAGACAGTATTGCGACATATTCTATACACATATAATAGGAATATACACTTACTAGTTAATCTTTGAGTTATATCAATTAATAGAATGATATTTTCGTTGTATATATATATATATAGTAAAAAATTCTGAAACATAATTCAAGATGTTAACGTCGCATAAAACGAGACGCTGCAGCACCATTTTGCTAAGATGCAGGTAGAAATAATTTTCACGGACTGTGAAATTAAGTCAGGTGCATACATCAGGCTATTATAAATTTAGAATTAAGGAACACCGCTTTATTTAGCTTTCAAACTGTCAACAAGTCAGACTCATGCTCGATGAGTATATGTAGAAAGTTCGAGAACAACGACCGGTTGTCGTTATTTATATGATAGTTTCATGTTTCTCTGTAACGAGTTAACGAGTCAACGAAAGAAATTAAAAAATAATTTTTTCTTTTTGTTCTGTTTTATCTTTTAGTACATTCCCTGCCCAATTTGACTGTCTTGTCGCTGTCCGGATGCAGTAAAGTAACAGACGATGGCGTTGAATTAATAGCAGAAAATTTGTCCAGACTTCGATCGTTAGATCTAAGCTGGTGCTCGAGAATCACCGATGCGGCCCTAGAATATATTGCCTGTGATCTGAATCACTTAGAGGAGCTTACATTGGACAGGTGAGAACTGCTTAATCAATCAAGAAAAGCAATCTGTAAAACTAACTATAAACAAGGTAAATAGTCAAGGTCTTATTCAAGAACATGATTTATATAGTGTTTTGTCAATTATTTTTACAAAAGCACAAGCAAAAAAATTTTTCTAAAAAAAATACAGTTTATCACAATTCTACAGATATTTCAATTTGTTAAAATTAGGATTTAATACAAGAAAGGATCTGAAATCTTCTGGCATAAGAAATGAGAATAAAAAATATATTAAACATTACATTCAATAATGTAAATCAATTGTGAACAAACGCTGATATTTAAGGAGTTAACAGAATACACTGCAAACGACGAAGAGACATTTCCTTCTTTCTTTCAATTTTTTTTCTAAATTGTGTTAAATGATATGATAAGCCACGGTGAATCCGTGCGACCCATTCATGTTCTAAATACTGAGCGCGTTAACGAGCCTTCTATTTACGATCTACAATTACGTAATACACCTACGAATCAGCGTCGACACGTTCAGACGCCTAAGGAAACAGACTTACAATTTTCTTAAGCAATCAATCGACTGATTCTGTGAGATAATATATGTACTTGATTATCTCAAACATTTTCAAACCTACCAAAATATATTTTAAGCCTGCCAAAATTGTTCAACAAATGTCACATTTTTTGAGATAATCAATTAATACTTGAGATAATCAATTAATAATATTTCGAGATAATCAATTAATGTCATAGGTAACAATAAGAAAAATTCAACGATAAATTCGAACATGAATTTTGATTGATCTTGAAATAAAATAAAAATTTTATGCCAGAACAAGGAGTTGAGACATCTTCTGTACAAATAACGCGCCTCTCCAAGCGGGCGCGTTAACCTATCCGATGAAAATAGATTCAAGAATAAGTCTCTTGTAGCCAATATACATGGTGGCTTATTACCCCTAACACCTGTCACTTATAAGCGAAAGCTTTGCCATCGTAAGAGCTAAAGTCTAAAATTGTAGATACACAATCAATATATATATATATATTATAATAAATACATATATTTATAAAATAAAAATTATGAACCAAAAGAAAACGACAAGGAATAAAAATATAAAAAATTATAAAAATTAATTAAATTATAAATATAAAATTTTTGAGGCGATATATTAGGAGACGATTTGTTTGTTACGAATAGTTTGTTAAACTTTTTTTTTTCTTCTCTCTATATAGATGTGTGCACATAACAGATATAGGTGTGGGCTATATTTCCACGATGGGATCATTGAGCGCATTGTTCTTGAGATGGTGCATACTACTTAGAGACTTTGGACTTCAGCATTTGTGCGGCATGAAATCCTTACAAGTACTCTCCGTGGCAGGTAAGATCATTCTCAGGCCTGTCTTACATGACGCCCTATATTGTAGAAAGAGCTTTGTCGTCGTTTCCCCTCCCTCAAAGGATGAAAAATCATTGATCTCATTCATAAAAAAAAAAAACAAACAAAAGAAATTAAAATCTAAAATATGTATTCCTTTTTTTGTATATAAATCATTAACCAATAATTTTATTCTATTTTATAGATAAACAACAAATATTGAAATCCATTATTGTAAAATTTATCTATTTACCAGCAAATAATTTCACATCACTTTACAAAGAAAAAAAAATTAATTTCTATTAAAAAATATAAATTTTCCATAGGCTGTCCATTGCTTACAAGTAGCGGATTATCCAGTTTGATTCAACTTCGACATTTGCACGAGTTAGAGCTAACCAATTGTCCAGGAACGTCTCAGGAGTTGTTTGACTATTTGCGTGAACATCTACCACGCTGCCTAATCATCGAATAAATGAAGCTTCGTTGAAAGCAAAGCAACAAGCTCCAGCATTTCAACTGCGTTTCATCTAAAAAAAAACGTTTCTATTTCTATAGAACGAGACGGCAACATAAAAAAATGTTTCACGTAAAGCAATACTTAGAATGGACAAACCGACGATACGAGGAGATGATGATGTGGATACAGATAGAAAAGAAGCAATTGACGTCCAAATATGAACATTACCGCATACCATTGTTCTCTCTTATAACGACAAGGATATAAAAAAAATAAAAAAGAAACGGACACATAGAAAGAAAAAAAGAAAAACACTAGCCCCTAAAAACATGCAAACATGTTAACACTAAGATAGCGTGTAGAGATTTTTAATACACCAGAGCTCCTATATGAATCGCACTCCTTTCTCGCCGATGCTAGAACTTTTGATCGAATCATACACGATTCGATTTATTGTGTTGTTTTCTTTTTCTTCCTCTGTTTTTTCGTTGAAACATGTTTGAGAAGAAAATGCAAACAAATGAGAAAAAAAAAACGCAAAAAATTATATGGAATTTTACATGTCGCAGCTTAATAATAGAGAAAACAGAAAACTGGAAGCAGAGACAGTTTAATTATAGTAGGTTCTTGCTAAAAAAAAGAAAATAAATGGAAAAAAAAAGATAAAAGAACGTAGAGATTGTCCGATGAGACGACACGACAGACTCAACAACAGTTAGAACTGTGATAAATTTTTATTATACGTATATTGTTCTACTCCAATTACATATGTTTAGGATATTTAACCTGCTTCAACATTTTGAAAACGCGCGTAACTGTCAACGTGCTAGATGCGTTGCTTTTTTGAAAGAAACGAATTACCACCTTAATAATTATAAAGAAAAAAGTAACGAAAAGAGAAAAACATTCCGGTCACGTCTATTAACGAGAATTTTTATTTTAAAATTACAAGGTCCTGAAAGTTCTTAGTTTGTTTGATGATGTGTTGCTAAATAAACAAATAAAAGAAAAAAAAAGAGAAAAAAAGCGTTAAAGATCATTGCACATGTATGTATTGTCCTAGAGAAGGAAAAAAAATTTTTAACTTATATTTTACCTATGTATATTCTGCTGTCATGTAATTAATGTTTCATATATTTAAGGCTTATATTTAGCTAAGTTCTCGAATGTTTTTTCATTAAATGTAATGATATATCGCAATATAGAAAAAAAGACGTATTTTATGTGTTTAATACCATTAAGTATTTTGACGGTTATTTAAAACAAATCAGTGTCAGACACTAATACTCCAAGTCAGCACGTGAGGTACTGAAAGAGAGTTCTACGCTGCCGTTGTAGCTTAAAGTGCAACGTTTTTTTATGTTGAAATTCATATTATCAAATAACCTCTGTGTGATGTTTTAGCATACCTCGATTTCCAACCGAACTGAAATTTTTTGCGTGTTACCACATGTTTAGCACATGTCTTTGTATATATTGTATAAATATACAATTAATAATTCTGTTACCAATCAAAACTAAATATATAAATATATATCCGCACAGAAATTCTATCTGAGATTGGGTCGCATGCAACGCGAGTCATGAATATAACTTATAAGAGTGCTACATAATAATACGATGGAATGTGCTGTGAAATAAAAATTTATTGATCTGAATTTATTTTTGTACTCTCAGGTATTTTCCCACCATGTGAGCAATCCAAGACCTTGCTCATCGATAGCTCCCTGGAATATAAAATTAAAATAACCACTATTTTTCAGTGAGATGAACAGGATATTATTATTTATATATGATTAATAATCAATATCTTAATCATACTCCCAAAGCATAAATACCTACTTCTAAGCTATATGGAGATGTATTTTTAGCTTTTGATGTCTCAGACTCACTAGACATATTTGGCCCTGTAGGTAGTGCTTCAGTGAAAGTTTCACTTATTACCCTGAATCTTATGATTTCGCCTAAAATTTACAAATTTATTATCAGGCGTATTCTTATTTTACGAAGTTTTATAAAATTCCTAAAGTAATTTACCTGCATCCATAAATAAATCATGTTTTTCACCATCTCCTGTGTCGTACTCCCACACCCATGCTTGTTCCATTTGATCAAACCTGGATGGATGTTGCAGTTTATGAGGTGGTATCACAATATCTTCAAAGAATCCTAATGTCACTGTGGTAAAATTTGGCAATACATAAAATCATAAATGTGATAAATAAACAATATCATTGATGCAGGTATTACCATGGACACCATCGACACTACAGCTTCGTATCTTTCCTATTAATATCTCTTCCATAAATGGACGGAACACAATGTAACGAAATACTACCTTGGTATGAGATGCACCATCTCCAGGAAAAATATACGATTCCTCGATTTTTGTAATATCATGAAGAGCAATACAAAGACCAACGTCATTGTAAACCTTGAACAAAGAAATTGAATGACTTTAATTTTATTGATAACATTAGATTAAAATATTTAAATTATTCATTATTTCAAGCATTTAAATATCAAATATCTAAAATATTTAAATTATGACATTTCACCTTGTTAGCTAATTTTCTGTTAAGTTCATCCGTAATAGCGTCGTTTAATTTTCGCTTGAATTCCCATGGTGGAATTCTAACCGTATCTTTTAATTCCGCGAGGACAAACATTTGTACATAATTTATTTTATCTTAATGTAAGAAAGGATTATCTATCTTTTCAATTACACGATATTATTTACTTCACTAAATATTACGACTATAATTTCTATCACAGACTTTGCTTCGTACAAAACAACTACCTCTTACTTTCGTACCTCCATTACAAATGTATCGAAAACCATATGTCAACATAACCTCTAACGCACATGCTCCGAGACATGCTTTGGTCAAGCACATGCTCCGAGACATGCTCTGGTCAAGGAACAGATTTCTTATACTTCGTTCTGAAAGTTGTGGGATCGAACAAGGAATAAAATTATTTGCGATTTAAATAAACGAAGACAAAGTCATAAAATTCTGTTCTAAAGATTATATAAAGTAAAAGAACAATCGGCGGGATGGATGTTGTAAATTCAATTTTACAAAATGACATTCAAAAGAAAAATACCCATAAGTCAACAGTAGTAAATAAAGATACAGAAATCGAAACAGATTTAGGAACTCTTTTAGCGTTAGATTATAACGCTTTAAATTTGAAAGCATTAAAGTATAAAGCTTCTTCCATAATTTTTATCTTGAAGTGAAATACACGTGTGTTAATTAATTATATTAATACACATGTGTGTTATTTATATTTTGTAGATCACAGCCAGAAGAATATCTGAGGAGTTTGACAAGGGACAATGTACAAATACTGATTAATAAAATATGGGAACTGCCAGTGGAACGTGTTGATGAGGTAATAGTAGCCAAATTACCCAAACAAGAATTTATATTGCCACGAGCTCGACAAATTCCAAAAGCAAGACCTTTAACAAAATGGCAACAGTTTGCTAAAGAGAAAGGCATTAAACGGAAAAATAAACCTAAAGTTAAATGGGATGAAGAACTACAAGTGAGTTACAAATTTTTTAATTGGATTTGATTTATTAGTATTTGAAGCATTTATTTCTTATATCTTAATATTTTTGTAGAAGTGGATACCTACTTTTGGTTATAAACGTAACAAAGCCATAAAACAGAAGAAATGGTTGATAGAAATTAACAATAAAAGTAAAGCTGCAGAAAATCCTATTGCAGATGCAAAAGCAGCAAAGGAAGAGAGAAAATCTAAGAATGAATTACAGAGATTGCGCAATATTGCCAAAGCAAAAAATATAAAAATTCCGAAAGTAGGACTTCCTACTAAAGAACATTTTGCTGATTCACAACAACTTTCACAAGCCATGACTATTGCGCGTGCATCAACAGCATCTCTTGGCAAATTCCAAAATAGGTATGTTCTGTATTGCATTATTATATTCTATATGTCTATTTCTATATATTTCTATAGATTATTTCTATATATTTCTATAAATAATTTGTATAAAATTTTTCATTAATATGAAAGGTTACCAAAAGAAAAAGATGCAAAGGGTATTGCCAAACAAGTTCCAGGTATGAAAAGAAAAGCTGAAGAAGTTCCAAGAAATTTACAAGAGGAGAAAAAACGAAATACCAATCTGGCAGATAATGTTTTGAAAAGCAACACTAAGATACTTCGTGAAGACTTTTCTGTGCCAAAGTAACTTTCCTTTTTTTTTTTTTTTTTTTTTTTTTTTTTAAATCGCGAACGAGAGGAATTCAATGAACACATCACGTTCGCGAGAAATCTCAGGTAGAATGTGTATAATGATCCACGAAGGATATCGACAATCGAATAATTGTCGATTTAATAATTGCTCGTTTATTGCGAAACGATGATGTCAGGCGAACAAAAGTACACAAAACATTGCGCCAATATTTTCAAATGAAATACGCCCCTGTAGGAAATTAATTTCTCCACGAAACTGGATAATCGAATCATTGAATAATGGGATAAGGATAAATTATAACACAATTATTGTAATTTCCAAATTATGCGAGAAAATATTCGAAAAAAAGGAGGAAACTGGGTTGATTATTATTATTATTAACGTTATAATTTTGCAATTGTAATGACGTTTTCTTTTTAAATAAAATTCGCCCTTATGCACTGAAATTGTGTTGAGCCGACAAAATTTTGATCGAAGAATTTCGAGATGGACACGAGAAGATTAGTCATTAATTATCGTTTTTAGGTATATAGGAACTCGATTATTTAACTATTTAATAAATTAGGAAGGCAATTAATTCGTTTGTTTGTTGTTTGTGCAATTTCAGTGTGTCGTTCATAGGTGAAGGGGTGCAATAAGCATGATAACAAATTTTCCAAGGTCAGGGTGTTGCGTTAACATCGTAAACGTATTAACGTTTTCAGATTTTGAACGAATCGATATAAAAGCGCTCGAAGATATGTCTGAAATTCCTGTTCTGCATCGAGGTGCAGTAATTTCATTGACGAACGAGTTTCAATTCGATTTTTCGATTTCTCAGAGTACCGCGATTTCTTCCGAGTATCATTTCAGCCAGTGCGAACGACCAAAGAATGTTTTTTTTTATCGCAATAGGAAAACAAAGATGAAAAGAAAACAACGAGGCAGCGTCATCGACAAAGTTGGACACGTTGTAAATCGGCGTAAATGAAAAATAAGCGCGAAAAACGAATATTCAATATTTCTACGATAGCTCTTTTCTTTACGATACAATTCTCTTTCTTTCAGGAAAAAGTAAAAGAAATTGAATATTTCAATTGATGAGAATGTTGTTCTCTAATTACTGATACATATGCGTATTGCTTATAATATTTCTACATGATAAAAATGCACGATTATTGCAAACGATTTTTTTATCAAGTAAATTGTTGTAAATATCTGAATGATTAATAAACATTAATTAGAAGAAACTGTTGTCAGCTGTTCGATTACAAACAATTGTTCTAAATAACATACCAAATAATATTTCTTAATGAATCTAACCTACAGAAAAATGAAGTTTTTGCGTAAAGGGTATACGCTAAACCTCACTTATCGACAAAATGATCGAAAAATTCAAATTATCAATAAGAATTGAATTAAAAGAATTCAAATTATCAATAATAAAAAAAGTCATTCAATTAAAATTCATTTTACCCTTTGCAAGATACAGTTTATGCATTTACATGATCGTCAATTCATACGACAGATTATTAACGTTATTTCTGTTAACAAAATTTATCGTCAATAATGGCTACTCTATTATTAGAAGAAAACAGTTCGTACCTTTTTTTTTTTTATCGAGTAAGTAACAAGGGATGAAGAAATGTCCAACTCTGCTCCTTCGACCGCATCGTTGTGAATAAAAAAAGTGACCGACTATATTTCACACTGTATATATAATTGTGTCCACTATAAATTTGAGTCACGATGTACCGCCAGGCGCAGCTAATTCATAATACTGATTACACGAATAACCGAGTTACGTATTAAAAAAAAAAAAAAAAAAAAAAAAAAAAAAAAAAAAAAAAAAACAAAAAAACAAAAAAAAACAAAAATGCGAATAACATTGACGATAGCACATTACCCTCCCGATTTATGTTGTAACAAATATTGTAAAGGCAGGTATGTACATTCGATTAATACCAAAGTGTGCGGAACTTCATGTGACGGAAACGCACTGAATTGTAAATATCTCCTTTATCCCTCCCCTTCCTTTCGCTCCTAACCTCGTTGTCGCTAATTAGTGGTTCGTTTTAGTGGTGATTCGTTTAGATGTTGTATAGAATCGTACCACCACCCCCTTGTATTGTATGTATATGATTCGGAAGGAACAACACCGTAGACCTAACGTTTTCGTAATCTATTCGAATCGTCTTCGAATTTGTATAATATTTCTATACCGGCGCACACGTAATAAACTGTCCAATTAAACTATTCGTCTCTTAATTAATTTATAACCATCCCCTCTTTCCTTGGACGAAGAGTATTCTGTATCTCACTATTTTCTTTATTTCTCTATGATTCTTGAAAGAATTTAATTTTAATTTTTTTAATATTCAACGCAACAAAACTAATAATATAATACTTCCATTGGGAAGATATTTTATTATAACAATAGATTGTAATATAGTTTCACATATTTTATTTAAATTATTAGGAATTTCTTTTACAATTAACTGTGTTGCCAAAAAGTATTACAATAAACTTTGAGATAATTACTTATTACAAATGGCATTAATTATTCATTATAAATATTGTATATATTAGATATTCATTGAAAAAGAAATATGTAACTTATCATGTAAATATGTAACTTATCATACCTATTTAAATTATATTACGGATTATAAGAAGAATTAGTGAGCAAACATATGTATGTGTGATGTACTTTTAAATATATTATATTTACCTAATTGAAACGAAATTAGACCAGATAAGAAAGAACAGCTTTCTTTATCAAGCAAGACAAAATTTCAAGAAATTCTTAAACTTTAACATTGGTGTAATAGGTATCCATCGATTTTAAATGCAGTACATTACAAAATGTGTTAACGAAAATAAATTCTGATAAGAAAAAAGTATAGATTCTAAGCTACCATATTACAACATATTAAACCAGGTATGTACGTAGAAAAACATATCTATTCACATGTAGAAAATAGTATTTCAAATCTTAAATTTTATCATTTATCAATAAGGCTAAGCCTCCTAATATTATGAAAAATAAATGCAACAATTGTATCGATAAATAAGATACAATCGGGAATTTAATCGACGACAATAAAATTGAAGCCTATTGAGCATATAGAAGACAGTATATAAAAGTTACAGCAACGATATTTCCAACTTTCATAATTCAAAATTTATATTTCATAAATTCATATTTCTAGAAATTTTACTCATTCAGTGATTTATATTGTATATAAATCACCCAAATCTTACCCTTAAGTACTGTCTGAACATTCACGTAATTGATTAATTGTGTCTTATACGTACAACAAGAACATACTAAATACATATAAATATTGAATAATGTCTCACATAACTATATATCCAACATGAATTGTGTGTATATATAATATTATCTAATCTAACATTAAATAATAGAAACAATCTTGTACATTGATGTAATAATAAGCGTACAGTATGAGTGAGCTTACAATTATAGGAATGTATATCGCACGAAAGATGTGGAACAATTATTGTTCAGCTCTCAGTTTCAATGAGAGAAGATTTTTATGGCATACTTTCTAGACAACTCTTGATATGCTGCCAAGCTTGCAGTCCCTGCAATTATTTATAAAAAGATCGATTCATTTGTGCAAATATCAAACTAATTAAATAATAATATATAAAATTTTACCTTTCTAGTAAGTTTAAATTGTAAGATGCAGTAAGCTGCCAAAATTTCTTTTAAATCTACTACTTTTTGATGTTGAAATCTTTCTATGTCCATCATTGCTTTAATTGAGAAAGACCTAGAAATATTACATGTAAAACATAAAAAAATTTATTATACACCGTTTTACACTATATATTTTATATAACATGAGTACACATAAAGTATTTAATTAAAATTCATTACTTTAAATCTTCATCTACTCGTTTGACAGCTTCTTCGTGTTGTGCAATCCTTTGTTCCAATTGTAGCATTTTTAATTCACGAACTTCTTCCGTATCCACGGATACAAATAATCTTGACATTAAACCTGATTTACCTATAATAATAAACTACATTATATCAAAAGATTTCGTACTTTTAAAATTAATAGTAATAGTATTTCAAATAATTTCAAAACCTTGTATAACTTTGTCTTTTTGTTCAAGTGCTGCAGTTAAAGCATCATGAGCTTCATCTTTGGCTAATTGTAAAGCTTCTCTTCGTTTGACAACTGCTTGTAATGCAGAAGCACCAAACAACCATTCTTTCAACTGATCTGCTATTAATTCCTCTTCTTCAAGAGTTGTATCTATTGTCGCTGCTAATGAATCCAAGTAGTGACCAGATTTCTAAGAAAACAGGCTGTAATGCAGTGCGCTTTGCAATATATATACTTGTAATATATTTTAACTATATGTTATCACATAGAATTTTTTCAAAAAAATTGGTCGTTCTAACTTTTGCAGAAATGTTAATATTCATAACATATATAAATTTAAATACCTGTAGCCCATCACCCATTTCTCTTTCTATAGCACTCCATTCACTAAACACACGACCATAATTTGCATGTAATTTGTACAAACCATGTTGTTTTTCTACAAGTCGCGCACGTACTCGAAGTAGGTTACATAAATTATTCTGAAATATTAAATAAATATGTATCATACAAATTTTTTTTTTTTTTCATTAATAAGTATACCTGAAGTTCAATTCCATAGTTTTTTATTGTTTCAAATCGCTTATCTGGTTTTCGTAAACGCACTGCTACACTCAGTGCCTTTAATTTTGATTCTACCAACTGCAAATAACCTGCCATAACATATTAACGATTAAAATATTCATAATAAACGTAGATAATAAGATATGTATTTTTTTGATAATATACATAATTTACCAGTCTCTTTAATGCTTTCTCTCCAACCATCCTTTTGTTGCAAAAATCCCATAAAATGCTCATCACGAGATAGTATAGGATGTGAGGCCACCCTCAATAGAAAATTCTTAGAAATAAATTTAGAATAAAATATTAAATAGATATTTTTAAATGAAGGAAAAGATACAAATGAATAAATGTAAATAATATACCTCAAGACCAACTCTCCGTCTGTCAACAAAATCTGGGTCAAATGTGTCAGTAGTAACTTTTTGCCATGCATATAAAACTTTTTTTTCTGGTAATGGAGGCAGTACAATATATGGATAAGAAATTTCTAAATAAGCTCGAAGCAGTTCAAATTCTGTGTACCGGCGCCATAGAGAACTTACTTTGGTAAGTGCACCTTTAAAGTCTGGATCTGTAACTCTACAATGATTATTTTATAAATTATACTTACTATAATATATATATATTATATTATATTTAATACATATCAAAATAACTTTTTAACAAGGAGAGATAATTGAAAATTAAATGTATCAAAATATAAAAGTTCACTTACTTAGTCTCAATGAGGTAGACTGTATAAAACTCTCTTAAATTCAATGCTCCATTTGCTCGCTTTTCTGTTTCAACTATTGAGATTTCCATGTGATCAAGTAATACGTCCTAATACACACAATACAAACAACGATGAATATCAAAATATAGAGATATAACTGTTTCATTTTAAGGTATTTGTATAGTAATTTATGGAAATAAATGCATCAAGTAAAATCAAATAAATAAATCATAATTTATTTTTAATATCAACAATCAACAATTTCATATTTATTAACTAATGTTTTCAATTCGCACTATTATTATCAGATTATCTAATGATATTTAGTAATATCTAACTTAAAATTTCTGTATGTCCATTTAGGATATCATAGGTTTAAATACCCTTCACACTGTAGATACCGCCAACAATAATACAGTGACGCTCAACCGAATGATTCATGACCTAGTTCGACACTTTTTCAAATAAAATAAAAAATGCATACTTTCTATCATAATAATACAAATAATCTCCGTCAAACAATGTAGCACCATTTATTTTTCATGTATTCAAATGGTACAAACATTTGAAAATAGTTTTATTAAAGTTAATCCATGTAATGAAATTGTATAATATATAAAACAATTTGATATATTAAAAAAACGTGATATAAATGAAACAATAACAGAAACGTAGTTACAATATATCAAAAGTAAAGCCGCGTGATAATGTCAGTCAAAAAGAAAAAAAAAGAAAAAAAACTCAGAACGACAATAACAAAACATGAGAATCACTGCGCGTCATTTCGATTCTTTCGCAATACACGTACATTTTCAGTGTTATCTGTCGTTTCTTCAACTTAAACGAATGTAATTTTGCAGTTCTTGAAAATAGTGCGAGGGTCTTCCTAGAAACTTCAAATGAGAACGCGTTCAAAATTATAGCGTCGAACGACGTATTGATTTGGCGGACGAATTGAAATAGTCGAGTAATCGAATAGTTTCTTACCTCTTTTTGCGTCTCCATAGTAGTCATGTTCGCATTCGACTCCCTCTGATAATTCCCGTTCTGAAACACTTCTTCCATGATTCTGCGCCAGCCTAAAAAAATCTACGGAAGCGGCGAAGGAACTTCGAAGCCTTTCACATCACGTCCACTTTCTCCATTACTGACTGTGTCACTTTATTCGATAGAGGAGCCCTGTACGTTGCGCCAGGCTAAATTCCCTTTTAAACGTCCGTCCGGTGGCGTTTTATTGGTTCCCCTGGCATATTTACTGCAATTCGAATAATTAATTCGGCGGAAAAAACTTGTTTAAAACATAATTACATTCTGCAAAATAACAGCGCTTTTTATGCAGTTTTCGATCAAGCTCTAGGGAATTTTAAGAATTCCACCGAAACCGGAAGTTTTTGAAATAGTTGCGTAGGATGACAATAGGGGGTGGAGTGATTTGCTCATGCGTCAGTTTAATATTTATTGTGCGCGTGTGAAATCGCGTCTTTGTACTTAAATACATTTCGTTAGTAAATTTATAACTTTCCTTTTGTTTCGGAAGAAATTGAAAGTCGTAGAAACACAGTGAAGGTAATTATACTTAATATTGTTTGTTCGTTTGAGGAAAGTGATAATTTTCTTGAAATTATGTAGTTGCGTTTCATATATGCAACGGAATAAGAATTTAAATTTGTTGAACATTAAATGTTTCTTGAGATGAATACATTCTATTAATTTGAAATTTGAAAATTTATTATTAAATTAATTATATATATATATAGATAACAATGATTAATAATTAATGGTTAAATTTATTATAATATTGTTTACGTGAATGGTTTATAAAGATAAGTTTATAAAAATATAATAATATTTGTTAATATTCGTAAAAGTTAATTATGAAACATATTGTAAATTAAGTTTTACATAATTAGAATATCTTCTTTCTATAGTTTATATTACAAAGTAGAAATTGGTATAGAGTAACATACTGTAACGCAATAGCCAGTGTAACATAATCTAATACAATATTTTTAATTAAATAATAAGACATGTAATAATTGTCAATGCTAGCATAGACTTGTAATTATTAATACACTTGTAATTATGTCTTCGATATATTTTGTAACAATTTCGAATATAGTTTGTCGGAAATTAAATTATTAATTCAATCAATTGAATCGTATTTGAAAATCTTTACACGTGTATTCCATAGGTTAAATGAAACATGGAAGAAAAACTGAAGATCTAAGAAAATTAGTAGCTATAAAAGATCATAAATTAATCCTTTTAATTAATTTTTATTAAAAATAAAAATTTAATCGATTTATGGTTATTGAAACAGTATCACCATATAGCGGTGAAATGACGGAACTAATTTCTAGTTTTGTCTTTGTTGCACAGTAACGTGTTCCTTGTTCATGACTAAGTAAAGTACTGTCATCTAACATATTTGGTTAAAACTTCCGAAAAATTTAATAGATAGCAATACTATAGAGATGTATGAATAGATTTAATCATTAATTAATTAAGATAAATCGGAGCATTGACTAACTAGAATAGACCGTACCTCCAATGCTTTTTCGTGTTCTATGTTTCGGGGGCACTTATCATTTTCATGTCATTTCCTACTATACCGATTTAGGCAGATTTGCACCGCAGCGCCACTAGTAATAGAAATTTAAAAAATTCAGAAAATATAAATTGTGTTGTTACATCTGCACTGAAAATTATTTATTAAATTGAAAGCTTTCTCATTTGCATGACTCAATTTTTGACAATAATATAAGTATTTACTACATAAATTAGCGTTACATGTCACATGAATTAAGTTACTTACAAACGTTTCACAGTATCAATTTTTCTGTATTTTTGGGGAAAATCTAAAACCAACAATGAACGAATCTTTCATTATCTTCAACTTAAGATTCTGCTTTGCTTTTAAGTACAAATTCTAATGTTTTATATTATAGATTTTCTACAGTCTCCAATTTCCTTAATTCTCTAAGAATTATGATGCTTCAAAGGCTAAGAATGTACTTTAGCATATTTTGCTTAAATTAATTCTATTCTCTATAGTTCTCTTTTTACTGAATGTAAAATTATAATTATAAAATAAAAATATTTCAAATTTTTAGAATCTTTATTTTTATTTAAATTTTCACAAATAACATTGTGTTTTTATGTTTTTTAAGGAACTTTTCACGGTGTTCACTTTTCCCATGGGATTCTCAGTGACATCTGCTTGATGAGGATTTTCGCGATAACTTTCCTTGGTCCAATGCATCTAATCGTAAGTCACATACATTTTTATTCACTCAATCATGTCGTAACATGGAAAACTCGAATCGAGTCATCAGGATGACTGGTTGTATATGTAAAATTATATAATGATATATATCATATGTGAGTCGTTGTAATATGTAATATGTAATAGAATAATTTCAGGTAATTATTAGTTTCACGTTTCGATATTGAAAATTTGATAACACTACACTGGATTTCAAAAATCATGTCTCTGACGCATTCATTGCTTGATCAACTTTGATCGTTTTACTTGATATAGTTCTTCAATTCACCATTAATTGTTCAAACGTAGAATACGTTGAAAAAACCCCTGATTTTTTACTATGTCGATATTTATGAGACATGAAGTTAAGATACAATGTCTACTTATATACTTCGTTTGTGGCAATACCTCATTTGATCGTAAATAAAAAACACTACAAGGGTAGATAAGGATAGACCTAGATGGAATAATAAATAAAGAGGGTGAGAGACCTAGATATAATTAGAAATTGAATGACCATTTAATTTAATACTTCTGGAATTCATAAATTTATATTAAATTTAAAATTATGAACAATAATAATGTAGATTTATTATACAACAATGTCGGTTTTTTTTTTTTTTGTTATATCGTCTCTGAACGTCGCGATATTAATTAACTATTGTATCATCTAATAATTCACCGTGTGAAACTATTTCACGCCATACAATCATGAGGTTTATTGAAAACCTCTCATAAATCAATCACGCACTCGTTTTCCAAACGAGAATTACACGCAGAGAATTACATACAAAGGGGTGAGAATACCTTATGCTAAATGAGTGTAATTGCGTTGTATTTACATATTTACATGATGAGAAATCATGCACCGAAAATTACACAATCGAGAAGAAACCAGAGACAAGGTATATATATTTACAAGCGCTTCTTTCAGTTCTTGTTAGTTCATTACAGTTTTATTCGTACAGATTATCGTTAGGCAGTTTGCTTTGGTTTATTATTCTGTGTTTTTTTTCGAGGAAGAATGGTCACTAGTAACGCCGATACTGAAATTAATATTAAATGTCGTAGTAAATGAAATTAGAACTGCGTGTGAGCAATGAATATTTACAAAAAAAAAAATCCACCCTCAATTAGAATATTGAGTATCTTTTAATACAAGGATTATCATGTTGAGTAGAGTTGTGAAATTTTTTTTTTATTTATATTATAAATAAAAATTATAGATATCTGCTCCTTCGTCCCGAAAAAATTCGACATTTATGTCTAATTTTAATTAAATAAAAATTAGATTTCGGTTAGATTAAATTCTTTTAGAATAGTTTACTTTTACAGGTTTACTTCTTACTCATACATGTATTTTGAATAAGTTTTTTTCTTTATATTAACGTTTTAATAAATTGCAACCTTCAAATAAAGTATCTACGAAGATAATTAAATGATAAGATCCAAACTTTTATCATTTATCGTTGCTCTTCAAAATTATAATAATTTTTGGCTGAAATATACGTCTTTCTCTATGCAAATAATATTTTTGGAGAAGAATTTTCAGCGATTTAAATGTTAAAATCCAAAATTTTGCAGTACGTTTCATTGTCACTTCTTATGTTACACATACGTAGAATAAATATAATATAATAAATATAAATATAAGATGGAACAGATAAAAATAGAATAAAAATATTTTTAATAACATACTAGCCGTTCCTATTCCGAATAATTATTGAAAATATTTTAGTTCTTAACATCAAAAACGTTGCTTTCATCAGAAAGGAACCTATTTTTAAAATTTCAGCCAAATCATAATATAGATACTAATCAAGGTGATGAGTTTAAAATCCTCAAATCGGGGTAGCTCCATTTTTGTAAATATTTATCTATATACGCATGTAAGAACGTTACGTCGTCACATCAGTCTTATTTAAATATGAGAAAGATTTAAAAGATTTTACCTAGAGAAGCGGAGCCAATCATAATGAATGGTCCCAGGCAGGTTAAGTCAAACAACACTGGAAATAGTAAATTACCTAGAACCGCTCCGATCCTGCCGACCATCATAGTCAGACTAACTGCCATAGTCCTGAGGAAAAATATTAAATAATTGACAATATCCACTCCAGATGTAGAGTAAATAAATAGAATAAAACATTAGATAATTTTATACCTTAAGCACGTAGGGAAATTATCAACGATAACATTTATCACACAGGCACCGCCTATACTCGACATTGCTACAAAAACCGAACATAAACCGAGAATACTGTTAGTATGCTCAGCCCAGTAAAGTGAAGCGCAGCAAGCAGCTGCTACTATGAAACAAGTTGCTGAAAAGGAAAAAGAAAAGAAAAAAAAAATAAATAGAAATTATTACGAAGATATTTTATATTATTAAATTTGTAGTCAGCATCAGATATATCTCACCAATAAGTTTCTTCTTTCCCACTACGGTAATGAGTGTGCCCGCCAAGGTATATCCTACTACACTGGTAGTCGCAATTACGATAGAATTAATAAATACCTTTGAGTTCAATTCCGCCTGAAATAAAATATACGTCAAAAATCATCGACGATCTTTGTTGCATTTTAAGAGAAAATCGTACGTGTGAGTATTCGTATCATTGTCCTGCAATTGTTAACGTTGGACGATTTATAATTTAATTTTTAATTTTCCAATCCTTCAAATTTTTATCAACGAGAATGCCTATTAACTAACATTATTTTTTATTTGCATCATCACTGACAAGATTTTCGAAATTTGTATCATAAAATAATATTAATCGTTCAGAGTCAACAATTGAAAGTGTACGAGCATGTTTAATTTATTCTACGATCATGTAGAAATTAAAGAAATACGTTTGAACAAAGAATAAAAGAATTAATTAAAAACAAACCTCAAATAAGGATCTAAAACACATTTAAGACATTTGGTATTGGCTATTTGCAACATAAAATAATCGACTTATCGAGACTCAGTTTTGACGAAAAATGTGCTATGGATTCTTATTTGAAGTTCACATCCAACTGCAGTTAGTTATAAACTAAATATTGTACCGGTACGCATGTGTGGGCAACGTTTAATGTTTCGTTTATGAAGCTTGTTGAGGAATTATAACTAGTTCCTTGTTGGCCTAACATGTAACAGAAGCGTGGCTGAGAGCTCGAATATTCATGTTTTAGATCATCGTTCTTGAATTGTTCCATCATTGTGAATAATTGTGGCATCCATAGTCTGATCGAATTTGATCTATAAATTGAAATTTCAACATTGGTCTACCTTTTTCGACTCTCTTAACTGCTTCACAATCGTGAAACCAGTTACGTATCTCGCGATACAATACCGATTCTTCATTCAAAACGAGAGTTCTGACTCGAAGAAACATCAATGCCTTATCAAAAACTCAACTGATTAAACGTGTATTGTATAAAGAACATAATAATTATTTTTTGAAAATTGTATTGCAACATTATGTGTTATCCCATGCTTCAAATTATATCGTATACAAACAAAACTGTTCCTAAAAGCAACATGCCTTTCATTTATTATTTGCTATAAGGTTTCGTGAATTGATTGTCAAATTAAAATTAAAATTGAAATTCTTATCTTAATAATAATATTCGGTAAAGCGAAAAGTCGTGTCGTTTCTTTGCACGTCATTTTGAAACCGAATTATTGCAACCGCACGTCAACTGTTGGTATTATTTTGAAACTCTGTTCATATTGTTACTGTTTTTCATTTCATTTTCTTTATATAGATACAGTAAAAAATCGTCAAGGCTAAAGATCAAATAATAAAAGAACAGAACTTCAAAATAATACCAACAGCACTTAGTCGACAGCAGTTGCGCGACAATTGATTTCAAAATGACGTACAAAGGAAAAACAACATTACTTTTCGCTTTACCTAACATACGCGAATGATATTGTATTGCGAAATATCTCGTTCGCAGTTGCGACAATTGTTGTTTGACAATTAAAATCACTCGCGAACATTCGATTCTTGAAACACATTCTGCGTGGCATGAACTGTTCAAAGAGTCAGCGTGTAGAAAATATATTTCAAGAAATGTCCAATCGATCTAACCCTATCGTGGCACCCAGTTGAATCATGCCTATCGCGATGAGTTTGAAGATGTTCGGCGACAGAAAGAGTGGTCTGATCTGTTGCCAACAGGAACGTAATTCGTCCTTTATATTGTCACGCGCCGATTTCACGGAATACTCGTCCTCGATGTCCTTTATCTGGAAGTGAGCGTTCGCTTTTAATCGAACAATTGGATCGTATTTGACACGCACGTCGTGGGTTTCTTTCTCTGGGTGGGAATGAAGATTGCTTACCGGATATGTGTCTCGATTCTTGCCGGTATTCACCGAGTATATCTTCTTGAAAACCTCGAGTGCCTCTTGCCTTCTGCCTTTCAGTAAGAGAAAACGCGGGCTCTCGGGGAACGCGAATAACGCTATGCAGGCAAGAAACTCCGGTAGCGAACAGATTGCCAAGAACACACGCCACGAATTGATCTCCATAGCCCCGCTTCCGGTGTTAATCGTCCATTTTTGTGGTATGATCAACCACGCGATACCTGGAAGCGAGTATTGTGAACGTGAGGATTGTTTTATGAATCTCAAGTCTCCTTCGTGAATACAAGGATTGAATGTGATCGACATTTTTAGTTACATTCTGGAGGATATGGAAGAAGTCTAGAAGTAAGAAATGATATTGAAGATTAATTTATTCTAGCGCTTCCTGTAATCTTTTTCTATTAGGATTTGATTCTTCTTTTTTTTTTTAATTATATTCTTAAAAATATGAATTTGCATAAAAACGTGCAGTCTAGAAGCAGAAGATCGACTTGTTGCAGTTATACATTTTTTTATGTTGTAGACGTGAATGTTATTTATCTCGTTAATATTAATTTATTGACAAAGATGAGAAAGTAGTTGCTACATCACGTTGGATGGATGGCAAATTTCTTTTCCATTCAATTATCGATAAAAAAAAATAGTTTATAAACGTGTCAAAGGGATACAAAAGCAGGATTAAACGGCAACTAGTATTATAGATGACTACAGTATTATGTTAGATTGTGAAATTTTAGAGTATGTTAGATTGCTAAAATTCAGAGTATCTGATTTTATTGAGTACTTTATATTCCCCGTGATTGAAACGAGTAATAAAATTAGATTAAATTAAAAATTTCGAAATCAAACAGTTTATCTTTCAATCTTCTAACCAAGAACGATGAATCGTTAGAAAATTGGAAAATTTTATATCTCGTCTTGGAGGAGTATTTTTCAATAGTGAATTAACTTTGCCATTCTCTGTTAAAAGGTTAAATTATTATGTCTTTAATGGGATCTAATGATAACAGTTAAAGGTTAAAGGGCACTTACATGGTAGAGAAATGTTCCCAAGGGAGAAAAACACTCCTAGCCACATGTAGGTACGAGATCGATGCGTATCATTATGTATTTCTGCCAAATAAGACATAAGTGCGGCGTATGGACCGGATATGCTGCAAATGTTGAAAACTTATTATCAAAGTTAATTAGAAGGTCAAGAAAATCAGTGTATATATTTCTTATGAGAATCGACTTTGCTATAAAGTTGCCCCTGAAAGTAAATACTATATTCAAATGAATAATACTATACTTTTAAAATATTTAAAGAAATTATTTTATTCTAGAAATTTTTGAAATTTTATTAATAGCATAATGTGAGACTATTATACTGACTAATCATCTTTCATTACCATGTTAGTAAAATTTCAAAATATTTTATGTAACGTATAATAAAATAATAAATAATATAATAATAAAATATATGTACATTTTCAGCGTATAAAAGGAATATAAGTACTTATATTTAAATTTTGAGTGCAACAATAAAATCAAGACTTCGATTTTGCATCTAAAAGTTCATAAAGTACTTTAAAATACATGTTGCTTCTGTAAAAATGATGAGTTGTATTATTTTAATCAAAATTAAAATTTGAAATTTCTTTTGTCTGTCCACATAAAAATTCTTCAAATACTTTCACAAACAGCTGTATGTATCGCCAGTAGTACAATACTTTTCTATTTACTTTTGTATCAAGTTAAACTATTATACATGAGTTTTAATATTTTTCTATCTTCATTCGTCTTATCAAAGTTTTTAGTTCGATCGTTCAATCAACTCACATAACGCCATCGAGGAACTTGAACGAAATTAATAGCCACGATGTATGCGAGAAACATGTTGCCAGGCTCATTATTCCGGTGAACATGTAACCATAAAACATTATCTTCTTACGACCAAACGTGTCGGTCATGAATCCCCAGAAAAATGAGGTGCTGATCATACCTGAAATCAGCCAAATTTTCAACAATAGTTGGGAAGTTGGATTTCTCAATTGATTAATAATATATATACTTCATTGATGTAAATTAGATTATATTTTAGATAGCTAGTTTGTATCAGTGTATCTGTCCATCTTTCTGTGCTCTGACATTAAAATAAATTACACAGAAAAAGGTGTAAAAACAAAAAGAAAAAGTAGATCTTTTAAATTTAATAATTTATCAACTTCTTTCTCGGTAGGATATTTGAGATAATAGTTGCGTGTAAAGAATGTTATTTATGTAGAAACTATTGAAACTCTCATTATAGAAGTTTTGTATTATTTTGTTATTTTAATAGATATTTTTATTTATTTATATTAATATCTATATTATATTTATATACTATACTATATTTTTATTTAATTACTATATTTTTATTAATTAATATATTATTTGTATTAATATTTAATTAATATTTATATATTATGTTTAAAAATTATTATATATAAATATTAATTAAATATTATAATTATTATATATTTATAATATTTAATTAATATTTGTATTAATATATTAATTGATATATAAATTAATATATTATTTGTATTAATATAGTTGGGCAACCAGAGTCACGTTTCGATAATAAACACATAATATCACGCAGCTGATATTTATTAACATTTTTATTGATCAGTTGATATTTATTAATACTTCTTCTTTTAATCGCTACAAGCTCTTTTGTACTATTTATTTCAATATCAGAGCACACAAAATAGGAATACACATGCTAATACGAACGGCGGTTATATTTACGAATTTCGATTTTTTGATTGAAAGAAATTATCGGGGATACGAGTGGAGGATTTGTATTTTTTTGGGGGAAATTTCGAGTTAGTAGAAATATTTCATTAATCAAAAGGTAGGAGATTAGGGGAAAGAATTTTGAAATTCACTTTCAAAAGATATACATATGCAATATAATTATTCCCTGTAATAAGATACACAATCGATTAAAATAATTCAACACAAATTTTGATATAAATCGTGATACGACAAAGATCGTACGATTCTTCTACTTGAAAATGAATCAGAAATAAAGAACGAGAAAATTTTCTCGTAAAAAAAAAATCTCGTTCTAAGTCAGAATCATCATTTACGTACTATAAATCAATTTTATAGTGGTTATGTTTGGTATAATCATTGATTGTATGTTTCCGTGGGACTTTCCGTTTTCAGAAATTCTGCTTGTTTCTTTTATTATCGTATGATACGAGCAAAGCTTATTTATTAGAAAATTTTATCGGAAGTAGCATTGTACGTGGCATTATCAACAAAATATTAATTAGTAACGACAGAGAAACGATAAGTTTGTTTTTTTCACAATTCTTACGCCGTACGATTCGTTTTTAAATAAATTGACGTGTAGTGCGTCATTTTATATAGGGTGGTTTTGTATGAAATCTAAGCCGAAAAGAAAGACTATAATCAGAAAGAAAGGACAAGATCTAATAATTTCGAAAATATTTCTTCATCTTTGAGAGTGTATCACGATTTCTGTCGTAATCAATGAAAGTTCTTCCCTACTGCGAATTGACCAGAATTCCAAACAGGCCAGAAAACAATCCGCTCTGTTCTTTTCTCGAAAAAATTTCCAACATCTCAATCCCGATTTCGAATTCTTACTCTCTTACCTGGATAAACAAACTGAGTTACGTTATTGTAAATAAAATTGTAGGTAGTTTCAAGGGATTAGAACATTTTGTATGTATAAAATTCACAACACTCTTTTACAATGCTTTTCTTTCAAGAGAACGAAATTAAAGGAAAATTTGGAATAAATTCTTTACATAAGTCCTGAATAATATTTGTATATATATATATTATTATAAAATGACTGGAATCTAATTTCACTTTGTGGAGATCGATTGAAGATTTGAGTTAAAAAGAAAAAGTCAGGTTTAGGTATTTGATTGAAACATTTCAAAAAATAATTATTTCATTTTTTACTTGAATTCTACTCAAATTCTTCAATTTGATTTCGTATTTTATATTTATTTCTACAAATAATTTTTTAATTACATAAACCATATTTCAATCATGTAAACTTCATTTGTTACTTTTAGACTGTCAATGTTTCTGCATTTTTAGAAAATTTGAAGCTGTATTCAATAGTATATAAAATATTCAAAATGTTGTATTCAATAGTATATAAAATATTCAAAATGTTGTATTCAATAGTATGTAAAATATTCAAAATGTTGTATTCAATGGTATGTAAAATATTCAAAGTAGAGGAGTAGAATTCAATTTCTTTAATTTTTTGACTGGTTAAAATCACTAGAAATCTAAAGGTTTAGTGAATAAGAAGCACATTACAAATTAAAAGACGCGTTCGTTTCTAAACATACAACTTTTAGCATATTTATTCAATATGTCATAAATAAATCAATTGTTATAAGGATTAAACACTTAGATAATGAATTATATTCATAAACATACAAAATTGATCAAAATCAGCGCAGTTATTTTATAAAATATTTCCTTTAATTTCATTCTTTTAAGTAATAAAAAAAATAATAAAAAAAAAAAGAAAAAAAGGAAAAAAAGAGGAAAAAAGGAAAACGTTGTAAAAGATTGCTGTTTTGGAATTTCACGCACTCACGGTAGCCTAGCTTCTTAAGTTTAAGCGACGAGTCGAATGATCACTCGCCGATCTCGAGCGCGATTTCTCGTCGCTCGAGATCGTTGTTGGCCACGTGGCCAACGCACGATGAATTACAAGAGTGTGTCATGTAATTACCATGTCCGTAGCGTACACCGTGCGTGTTCTAACCAGAAACTCGAAGCGTACCAAATGCGCGCTTTGACTCTCTGTGTCTTTAAGCTCAACCTGTAATTACAGTCGCGGGGTTACGTGATTACGCCAGTAAATGAATATACCACCTGCGAACGTCATCGAGTTGAGTAGACCCTTGTCGAACATGGTGAGATTCAGGTCGCATTCGGCCGATGGTAACACGTACGACATCGCCGACGATGAGAAAATGCTGGAGAAACTGGCGGGCAACACGGCCAACAGCAATAAATAATTGAACTTTCCATAGCCTGTCGACCAATTTTTTAATAAAATACCATCGCACGGTTGTGCACGTGCCTATACAGGACACATCAGGATGATTTGAGTCAAAATTTAGAATTTATTTACAAGTGAAAATGACCTATATCTCAAATTTTGTAGACATAGAGCAATGTACTATTAGAGATTTAAATGATTTTGCGTAAAATTATATCGTGAAGGTTTCCTATTTCGTCTTACTTTAATGTTTTTGATGGAGATTGTATGCTTTAATCGTCGGTAGTTCTAGTGTTAATCAGTTCTAGTGTTAACCAATTAAAGTTTTACATTCTCATTTATAGCATTTTAACTCTAATAATAATTCCCCGTGATACTCGAAAATATATAAAAATTGAATTAAATCTTATAATAAATATAAATTAAATAAAAGATTAAACGAAAATTAAATCGCTGGAAGTTCGTCCTTTATTTTTCTGGTCTACCATCTTAAATATAATACAATAGAGTTTCTTTTATGTGAATCTCTATTTTTCGCGTATTTTAATATATAAATTTAATATATAAATATAAATATAAAATATATAATTATAAATATAAATATAAAATATAAATATAAATATAAATATAAATATAAAATATAAATATAAATATAAATATATATAAATATAAATATAAATATATATAAATATAAATATAAAATATATAAATATATATAAATATAATATTTTAATATATAATTTTAAATTAGACAGATCGTCTTAGAAATATTTAGAAAGACAATTGTCAACAATAAATTGCATTCAAAGTTCTTTTTTTTCATACCTTCTGTCCATTGGCTTTCAACTATTCCTTCATTCTTATTAAACTCTATTCGTTTTAGCACGATATCTCAAAAAATCTTTGTATGGACAAAATTCCACCGAAAAGTTTTATTTATTTTGTAAACGTTCCTTTTTAAAAAAAAGAAAAAAATGGATAAGTCAAGTTCTTGGAACTTTGTTATGAAAGAGATAACTATTTATTCTCTTTTTATACTTGGTATGCGTCACTTACGATTTGACAGGTTTGAAAGATAAAACTGGAATACATAATTGATTGGGACGTCTGAAATTTTTACGCGTCTCTGTTCTTTAATCTGAATGAGTAACAGTGTTTGGTGGAGAATAGTATGTCGTCATAAATAAAAAAAAAAGAATCACAGGTACTCACCAGAATGAGTTATTGCTCGTTCAAAATCTGCAGGACCAGGCTCCTCAGACTTTACGTCTTCACCTGCAATAACACAATTGTGTGATACACGATTCTTAATATTACAAGATAAGATTTATATATTATTGGAATTCCAATTTTTTTATAAGAGATTTCAAAGTGCAAAATTTCATATGATATAAAATTGATAAAGTAATAAAATTTCATATAATGTATCATAGTATGAAAGGTATAATGTTTTCTATAATATTTTTTTATTATGATTTTTCTTTTCAATTGTATCGTTAATTTGCATAAAAATCCACAATTTATGAGGTACTCCTAAAATAGTTTAAAAATGATTTTATATGCAAAAGTAAGTCGACAAGAAAAAATAACATTTTTTCACTCAAGACTTCGCTTTCACTTGAGAAAATTAAGTTTGGAAATTGAAAATCAAGATCAATTGAATTTGGCCTGAATTGATATAATTAATGAATAAGTAAAATTCTGTTTCTGGAAGAGTTTTTGAGAAAATAGCAAAAATTTTAGCAAATTTAACAAATTTATATTTAACAAATTTAACAAATTTTCGGGAAAATGTGAAAATTTTATTTTATATTTCCCAGTTATTTTCATACGAAGAATAATCTTCTTCAACCGACCTTTAATACTTATCAAAATATTCTATAGACAAATTACTTAAATGAAAATACATGGATTTATACAATCACGTTTCTCTTTAAGAAATCAATATTAGACAAAGATATTTAAAATATTTAAAATATTTAGACAAAGATATTTAAAATATTTAAAATATTTAGACAAAGATATTTAAAATATTTAAAATATTTAAATATTTTGAGCAAAGGAAAATCTTGAATTCGTCATATTAGCAGGTTTGATTATTCTAGTGTTGATTATTTATTTCTGTTCAGTCCAGAATTAGCCAGATTCAAGAATGAGTGGCAAATATTCAAACTCGACTTTCTTGAACGGAATCTCGAATAGAAAACTGTTATTCTTTCTTATTAACTTATTGTTGCTTAATGTTAATTACACTCTGGTTAATTGTACCACGATTTCACGAACATCTTGCACATTATTCTTAATATTACAAAATAGCAAAGTAACGTACGTTGCAAATATTTGTATTTGAACATCGAAAACAAACCGACGAATTGTTTGAACACCATTATTCACACGCTGTATTCAACCAGTGAATTATTATTATGTATGATTAAAATTCAATTGAAAAATAATAACCGAGTCGTTCGAAATTTGTTTTTTCTTTTGGTAAATGTAATTTGTTTATAAATATAGAATTTAATAATTTGTAAATTTAATACTGGTTAGTTTATTATATTTGATTAGTAGTTTAGTTGCGTCCACTAAACACCACTTGTGTAAATGTTCATGTTACCACGCTGTGGCAACAGATGATATTTATTACGTTAATTAGCAACAGATTTTCACTGATCACTTTATTAAATCTATAAATCTATAAATACTTTATTAAATCTTTATTATCTATAAATACTCTATTAAATCTTTATTAAATCTATAAATTTAACGTTTCACTGATTTCACTTTATTAAATCTATAAACTGAACTATTCTTTGCCATCAATTGGAAAAGTTTCTTCTTTCTTAAATTTGATGGTACTTGCGAACGCAATTAAATCATATAATAATGTCACAGGAGAATGTAGCGCTATCTCTTTTTTTCTAATAAAGAAAGAAGGCAAATAATTTCGAACTGATGGCAGAATGTAAAATTAAATATTGCGACACTGTGGTAGATTTTAATGGTGAAATGATGACGAAGAGTGAACTTGACTGAACGATAGCGTGATCCAAGCTGAATCTGTACATACATATTGTTTACATTGGTGGTAGTTCGTTAATTTGATGTACCTATACAGGAAATTTATCAACACATACTGTTTGTGTTTGATATTTCCCGAATTCTTGTAAATTAAATACCTGGAATAATGTTATAATTTTATTTTTACTTTATCTTATATTTTAAGAAAAATTTATATTTTACATTCTTGTAGTTTATTTCGCTTTTATTTTAATTACCTTGCAAGAGATGATATGATCCTCTTATATTTTATCTCGCCTTTATTTTAATTAATTACCTTGCAAATAATGATACACTAATGATACAGTGACGAACAAAAAGAAGAAAGAAAAAAGAAAGTTCTAAAGGCAAATGGCGTTAAATAATTCAAAATTCCATAACGTGGACTCGTATTTACCAACAGCAATGAATGAACATACATCTCAGGATAGAATCTTAATAACAATTTTAATTTATTTGCTTTGTATATTATTTCCTTTTCGTACATTTTGTACATTTTAGTTGTGTTATTATTACTTTGCAAGTAATGATGTATTGCATGGAAATACTGTATAGTTTTCTCTTTTATGTTTTATTTACATTTGTTTGAATCACCTTGCCAGTACATTATTCGTGAACTTGATCAATTATTTGCTTAATAAAACTGAAATATGTTGTTACGTTAGTATACATTCTTATTCATAATTAAGATTTATCTCGATGCACATTTTCGCGCACGTTCTGTTTAAAAAAGGTGACGCGATGATAAGCAAGGCTTATCGGCCATGAATAAATGTTTTCATTTGAAATGGTGTAATTACGGTTTAACATTCTGTTTCACGATAGCTTGTGGAAGAACACTGAATCGTAATTAATAACGTCAATGCTTGTAAAAACAAATATACATTCTAAAACATAAAACATAATACGTTAAGTCACATGCGCTAAAACATTGAACATGAAACAAATTCTGTGCGATTAAAATTCCATCAATTTCTACGAGCAAACTGTAAAAAAAAAAAAAAGAAAAATTATTCAAGTTGAAATTCCCGGAAAATTTAGATACATGTGTGAATTTTATTTATATTCTCAAATCTTAAATTCGTTTCTTAAATTCAACAAACTTATATCACAGAAACGAAAATATCAATTTAACACGTTTGTTGCGTACGTTTCGAGTTCGAGTCGTCACGTATTTTTACGATAGTTAATCGTTATTTAATGATACATTAAATTTGGAAAAAATTTAATTCAAACTTAATTGAAAAGATTTGATTTCGATTGAATTGAGTTGAGTTGAATCCGATTGGAAAAATTTTATCAACTCTCAAGTGGATGGTTATAGTAATTTGCTTCATGTATACATGAATTTAGATGGAAATTAGTATTTCAAAATTAAGCAACGTAAAACAATGTAAAAGCTAGATTATTTAATTTAAACATTCTCGCTTGAATTTTCATTACTTGACACTTTGAGGCATAAATTTATATCAATAAAAGTTCCAAGTCGCACAGAAACTATATTTTAATACAAAATATATAAAAATAAGACTATGACAGATGTTAAACGTGAAAAAATTAGCAAAACTAGAAAGACAGATTAATAACACCTGTTGGGGAAATTCCTAATTAAATAAACGACGTAACATAAATCTTTGTATATTCAATTATTTTAATTTTTCAAGGTGGATGGAAAAATACTGCAACATATTGAGAAACGTATATATATATATATTTCAACTTGCTATGTCTCAAATAGTTAATTTTTACTATGCACTTTACTTACTATGTTTCAAATAGTGTAGTCACTTGAAATTTTACAATACAAAAATAGATTTCCCATGAGAATTTTAAAGTGTGAAAATTCGATCAACGATAAATATATATATATATCGTGCGAATTAAATAAATTAATAATATTTACTTAATTATAAAAATATCTATCTGAAAAATATCTATACTTTCATAAAATGAAAGGTAATAATGAAAATTCAGAACAAATAAAATAAATTTTATCGTTATCGGTGTTGATACTGTGATCTGAAACAATTAATTAACATAGTTAGGTAAAAATTTGTTGAATAATATAGTACTGAGTAATATAGTGAAAGTAGAACACAGGAAACTTGTGAGATATTTTATTCCAAATTTAATTAGCAACGATACGCGACTGTTATGCTTATATTGATAAAATTGGAAACCAATATGTAAACGTACATATATATTGGAGTTGCGAGATATGTGTTGTAAATATATATTCAGTAAAAGATTAATATTCGATCAGATCTCACTTTTGGATTTCTACCAAGTGAATATTTATTTTTGCTAATTATTCTTCCAAATATTTGATTCAAGGACCAATTTTATATTAGACTAGAGACCTCAGTAAACACTTCAGAATTCTTTCAGATTTTTTAAAAGTTAAAAACAGTAAAAAAATTAGCGGTAAACAGTAAAAATTAAAAATAGACCCAGATTGCCCACAGAAGGTGCGAAAAATGTAATTATTAAAAAATATGATTAAGATTAAGTATATATATATATATATATATATATATATAAGCCCATGTAACTGGTTATCGAAAGCCAAAAATTGTATTAAATGTCCTATAATAATTTCTATATATACATATAAATTTAGATTTGTCTCAAACATTATTACATACAATCATGACACTCGTATCTTATTATACTGTTAATGAAATTTCAAAATGTTTCGCGTAATATGCATAATATGTTTGTAAAACATTTCTACAAATATTTGATTATTATCCTTACTTGACATTGTATATAACTATATATAGTAACAAATTCAATAAAGATTGCGAAAGAATACATTTTCTGACACCGTGAAACGGAGTCACGTAAGTTAATATCGCGCATAAAAATGTAACGTGTTCACGATACGATTGTTTATTACGTATGAAAAGTACATAAATCGAGGGATTGTTGTAATTGATTGAGATTTTTGTATCGGTAACGAAGTGAACTGTAATCGACACGGAGTAATAGCGATCGTAAAAGAATATTTATTTTCGCGTTGTTTCTCGCTTTGGCGAAGTCAAATAAATTTAACAAATGATTAAATTAACAATTTGCTTTATCTCTCGATGTCTAGCAATTGTGAAAACCATGATATGAAATACACGGTTTTACAATTCGATTAAAAAATGAACATTGCAGTTGAAACATTATGACAAAATGCACATACGTATTTCCATAAAGCACATTTAGTTTCTTTTTTTTTTTGAGATGCAAATCTGTGATCCAATTATTCGTTCGATAATTGGCGTTCAATTATCTATCATTTAAAATCACATCGTATCGCTATCGCATTTCTGAAACCGTGCGAATTACCATAATTATAACGTACTTAAATACCGATTACGTTACATTACATTTGAACGTATGCTCAACTCAGTGAATAATCATACACAGTATCGACTAAACGATCTAATGAAAAAGTGACAAGAGACGAAATAATATTTAGCGTGTCACGATGAAACGTTCAACATTTATAGTTCTTCGTACTTTTAGTTTTCAATGTATACCAAAGCAGAAGAAAGAAATCAGGTTTGGATTGATTTTCAGACTTGGCATGAAACAAATAACGATTTGAAATAATGATTTATTTCGAGTAATCTATTATTGTTGTATTCAGCAATAACGTGGGAAAAGTCATTTAGCGTGAGATTCAAAAGTAATTTAGTGTGAAAAGATTATTTTCTAAATAATTTCTTATTTAAGTTCATTTGATTATTCGGTAATAAAGTAAAAAACAGATAATCTAACACGAGATTGTCTGAAATCTGTATTTGAGAATCAGGAATTAGGTGTCTGAACAAAAATTTAAATAACCAGAAATAATCCAGAAAAATTAATTTAATAATTATTATCGGAATCGCGATCATCTCATCGATTTTGAGCTTTGAATATATTGTCAAGATAATTATTTTGCACAATTTACACATGTTACCAAGATATTTACAAAATACTGTCGATATCATTTATATATAATTATGATGGCGTACGTCGTAACGAATAACAAAATATAAGCTAACCCGAACCTAAACACACATACACGCACAATATGCAAAAATCGGCCGTGGTTGCATATCGATCAACGCTAATGTTGACGGTATATATAGCAGTTAAACGAAACAAAAGATAAGAATTTTAAGGGTTCAGGTGAGATTGTAATTTGTCAATACTGACACATGTACTGTCAAGGATGCATAATTACAAGCAGAATTCATTATAGTGATAGCGACAGTTTTTGTCTTTTTTTTTTTTGCGAATATTTCGGAAACCAAAGCCGAACGATGACGACATTGAGCACAGGAAACAGTTGTTCAGAATCATGCTCCTGATAACATATTTCAAAGTCGTCGAATCCACGAAGTGATCATCATTTCGAATAATTATCAAAAAATTATTTAAAAAAAAAAAACAGCTAAATGAGACAATTATTATTCAGTTCACCATTTTCGAAAATTATTATTCAAATAATAAGCAAACCTGGTGTGAGCTCATACATTTCCAGATGGATATTTTTAGAAAAAAATATTCGAAAGACGAAAAGGGCAGTGAAACAGTTTTAATGAAAGCATTTGAGATCATCGGACTTTGAACAGATTTTTCTGCAAAGTAATATTTCCGATAACACCTATCTTCTGTCGTATTTTGTAATTTGATTTGAAGTTTTATTTCTCAAAAAATATACACTTTCCTTAAAAAGGAGCTAATTTTTAAAGAAATGAATTTTCATTTACAAAGCATTGATATTTATGTGCATAGATTGTTAAATACATTTGAAGAAACGATAATCTCTACAAATACTCGCAAATACACTTAAATCGCAAATTTTTATGCATTCATAAAAAATTTTCTACGAAACGTTTCGAAGAAAATTGTGCAGAGTGCACGTAACATGAAGAAATATATAAAATAATGCAGCGTTTCGTGTAACATTTAGAATACATATTATAATTCTTCGTCGAGACTCTGTTTCTTAAATTATTTTTAATTCTTGAAAATATGGATCTGCAAATGAACTGTACTTATTCTTTGTCCCATTAATTGTCAATTTTAATTCCGTTCTGAATTTTTGTCAGAATTTTTCTATTTTGTCTCGTTTAAATTTAATTTCAAGCTTTCAAACTAAATACTTGAAATACAAGAAATTATTTAGTGTATTCATACATCTCTCTGTACACAATACTGGATTATTTAAAGAAATAAAAATATCCGACGAACGCACTTGGCATTTTCGCGAAGTGTGGCTGAGATTTGGACATTATTTGAATAAAATATTTGACAAATGATTAAATAACACGTTCTATTTTGACTCTTATGTTTGATAGCCAAATAATGAAATAACATCCAGAAAAATCATTCGTTTGTTCAAACAAACTAACGCAGGAATATTTCAAGATAACAAGACGATATATTGTTTAAATAATCATTCTTCCAATATTTTATTCGATCGTAATTAATATTCGTCATTTTGCTCGAATAATCGAATTAACTAATAAATTATTTCGAAATCTCACCCCTAACAAAGTTACTTTATCCCTACGTTTCCAAAGTAACAACAATAAATTACTCAAAGTATCGATTCATTATTTCATTTTCTGTGGCTTTTCATTTTCAAATGAAATTTGCCTCAACTTACACGCATGCGAAACATTCTACGCGTCAATTCGATACGAGGCGAGGAAGCGAAAATTTTACGTGACTTTTGAAACAATTCGAGACGCACGCAGTACGTGATTTCTTCGCTGTTCGCAGTCCGGGTTCATGACAAACGTGATAAACGGAAGGAGAAGCAATGCTCATGTGTTAATTCCACGCTAATTTATCTTGTGTCGCGTTTACGACATTCATTTCGTGTTTCCAGAACGATCAGTTCTTTTCAGTTTTTTTTTAGTTTTCCTTCGACGTGGGTCACCGTGGACACCGAGCGCGTGAAAATGTTCGAGCAAAATGAAATTTCCAAAGATCGTGCAACTTTTTGGCGTAATTCTTGTCGTTTAATCGTTTGCTTCTGGCTGTCTTGAATTTCACAAGTTGTACACGTTCGCAATTTATTTCAAACAGTTTAATCCCTTAAGTGTTTACGTCGAGTATACTCGTCACGTAGAAAAAAATTTGCTTTTGCTATTTATTGTAAAATTTAGGTAAAAAAATTATTATTACAAATAATTTAGGTAAAAAAACTGTTATTACAAATAATTTAGGTAAAAAAATTGTTATTACAAATAATTTAGGTAGAAAAATTATTATTACAAATAATTTAGGTAAAAAAATTGTTATTACAAATAATTTAGGTAAAAAAATTATTATTACAAATAATTTAGGTAAAAAAATTGTTATTACAAATAATTTAGGTAAAAAAATTATTATTACAAATAATTTAGGTAAAAAAATTGTTATTACAAATAATTTAGGTAAAAAAATTGTTATTACAAATAATTTAGGTAAAAAAACTATTATTACAAATAATCTAGGTAAAAAAATTATTATTAAAAATAATTTAGGTAAAAGAATTATTATTACAAATATATATACATATATTTATAATTTTAGCACGATTTAAAATATTTCAAGGCAACGAAACAGAAAAATAAAATGAAACCAATCAAATTAAAAATTTCCCCTGAAGAAACACCAAACAAATTTATTCATTTTGTTATAATTTTAGACTCAATCTTACAGTAAGTGCATTTACTGTGTACTCGTCATCGCCTAAAAATAATTAAGCGCGCCAATGCTTGATTATTAAATAAATAATACGAAAACTTGAAAGAATTAAAATTAAAAATTTAAAAAAATAAAATGTTTAAGGGGTTAACTAATAAATTTCAATTTTCCTTATCTATTAAATCTGTCAATATAACATTTTAATTTTTTAATCCTTTTAAGAGTCAGTTAAACTTAATTACTTGGTAATGATGATCACATCGTGGATTTCGATGACTTTGAAATATATTACTTATCAGGAGCATGATTCTGAACAGTACTTTTCCCTATACTCATTATCGTCATCGTTCGGTTTTGTTTTACCGAAATAATGAATTCTACTTGTAATTATGCATCCGTGACAGTGTATGTCTCAGTATTGACAAATTACAATCCAACCTAAACCCAATTCTTATCTTTTGTTTTCGAGGAATATTATATGTATCGCCCAACATTAGTGTTAACTGATATGCAACTACGAAGAAATCAGTTGATTTTTGCATATCGTGTGCGTGTGCGTATGCGCTTGGATTTGTATTTATATTTTGTCATAATTACGTGTAGGTTCATTATAATGATATCGACAGTATTATGCGAATATCGGAGGCCGAGGGATGATAACATGTGCAGGGAGATATTGTTCAAAATAATCACTTTGTGACATTTAAATAATTTTTCCAAATACTTCCCAATCTATTCAGTTAAAAAAATTTTAATACTTATGACATTCGAGTAAGGTCGATTAAAATTAGTTCTCATGAACTTTAGAATGTCGATGATTTAAAATTTTAATATTTATGAATGTAGTATTTATATTATTTAGAAATTAATTCCTCACGGAAGGAATTCGTTTGTCTTTCGTACCCTTTAATAGGAGTTAATTCAACGTTGCTCAATTTCATAATTACATACGAACAAATTCAACGTGTAATCATTTATTAATTATGAAATAATATTGTTATATCCACCTAATTATTATCGCTAATGCAATTTAAATCTATCAAAGAATTATGAAAAAGACTCTAAATCATCCCTCATGAACCTCCGAATCTCGACGACTTGAATCGTTAATTGAAATTTCATTGAAATATTTTCACATTCGGATCCCGTATTAAAAACTGTGGATGCTACGTAAAACATTGTGGATGTGAATTTAAAATTCACAATTTCTGTCACTGTCAAATTCGCAAATGCAACAAGTGTCGAGTTCCACCAAAGTGGGATACTGCTTATTCGCAATACACTTACCTCTGCACTTCACCAACGAATTCATTAAATATCCCCTTGTTTTCCCACCTTTGAATTTTCTGTCCGAAGCGAAGGAACAACAAACACACACACAAAATCGCCAAAAAAAAAAAGAAGAAGAAGAAGAAGAAGAAAAGGAAACAACGATTGTCCTTCCGCGAGAGAACAGAATGAAGAAAAAGAAAGAAGGGTGAGAAGAAGGGAGAAACAAAGTGGGAGGGTAGGAGAAAGGTGGTTGCGCTCTATAAGTGATCTGAGCCCCTAGGACTCAAAAGAACAAAAGTTAGGAGACTGTAAGAAATCGAGAGTGTAACGTTGTTTCAGATGCACGCAGCGCACATGACTGCCGCGCGAACTACAATTCGCGGTAAAATCAGACGAACGTAAATGCCACCTGCGACGTGTATGCAAATCCCTACCTTGGTGGGGCGAAACAGGTTGTCGAAGCGAATCGCACGAGTTGTGAAGTAAAAAAAAAAAGAAAAAAAAGAGAATCACCTCCACCCGCGCTCGTCGTTGCGTTCTATTTTTTTTTTTTTAAATTCAGTCGGATTTCAAAGTAGTTTAATCCTGTCTTGGAAGCTGGAACGTAGTTTTCTTTCACTTGCCTTGTCATTTATCTGTTGCTAGAATGATGATTGTCCATTTATAGATGTACAATGTCGATTATCAAGGTGATGCAGAAATCATGGAAAATAGGAGTGATGTTTTAATAGTAGAAGGCTGGATGAGTGAAGTGTGAAATTTGGTGAGGTATAGAGGTATAGAGAAATTAAAGTGAAATAGAAAGAAGTTTATAATATACAGAAAGTTTACATAGGAAGTGAATATTATAGATAGCTATAATAATATTAAAGGAAGTTAATATTGTAGATAACTATAATATATATTTTATATATAGGAAGTTAATATTGTAGATAACTATAATATATAGTTTATATATAGGAAGTTAATATTGTAGATAACTATAATATATAGTTTATATATAGGAAGTTAATATTGTAGATAACTATAATATATAGTTTATATATAGGAAGTTAATATTGTAGATAACTATAATATATAGTTTATATATAGGAAGTTAATATTGTAGATAACTATAATATATAGTTTATATATAGGAAGTTAATATTATAGATAACTATAATGTTATATATAGTTTATATATAACAAGTTAATGTTATAGACAACTATAATATATATAGTTTATATATAGGAAGTTAATATTATAGATAATATATAGTTTATATATAGGAAGTTATAGATAATATACAGTTTATATATAGGAAGTTAATGTTATAGATAATATACAGTTTCTATATAGGAAGTTAATATTATAGATAATATATAGTTTATATATAGAAAGTTAACATTATAGATAATACATAGTTTATATATAGAAAGTTAATATTATAATATAACATAAAGGAAGTACATTATAATATAATGATTATATAATTAATGTACAAGAATACAAACAATTTAAAAAATAATACTTAAAAAATAATAATGTGGGTATTATAATAAAAAATAATACGTATGTAAATACATAAGGAATGATATGATATAGATTACAAATATTGGACATAATAATTGGAAATAATAATTTTTGTTACTCGAAAAATATATCCTTGTGAATTTTATAAAATTATTAGAATTGCTACCAGAGAAATTATAGCGCAAGGAATAGGAACAGAAATTTATAATACGAGTAAATAATATAAATGATATATATATAATACAATTTTGGAAATTTTTATTAATAATATAAATTGGTAAAAAATAAGAGCAAGCGTACAAAAAATATAAACATAATACAGTATATAATACATAAAATATAACACAATATTTTGAGATTTTTATCTCTGGAAGAACAGAAAGCTTTTAAAATTTCCAAAATTGTTATCTGTAAAGATGCGTCACTCTAAATCTGTGATTATGATTTGTTGTCTGATTACCATGCAATGAGAGAAGAAGCTTGTAATATAATAAGGCACACAAATTTTTATCTTTAAAATATTTTTCATCTTTGTAAATTTATAAAATTTAGAACCGGAAATCGTTGCACTTTTCTACGAAGCTTGAAACTTACGAATTGTTAATCAGTTTGTCATTAAACTCCATTTTTCAATATTGGGATTATAAAAGGAAATTCCAGGAATTCCAAAAATTGAAATATTTACAACTGGCATAGTCGAGGCATAACACGTTGGTTAATGTACTGTCTCGAAAATATTCCGAGAACGTTTCATTAATCTCAACAAGCGTTTCATTAAACTTCAATAAACACATAGGCACCCAAAAGGCATCAATAGTTAAAAATATACGGAGGGAAAATTCCATTTCTTTGTTTGACGATGACTGAACCTGTACCATTCCTTTCTTTCGCTGATACGGCGTGTATATGTTGCGTACACACCCCTAATCCTCCAACAATAAAGGCTGTTTACAAAGTAGATGGAAAAAGCCAAAATGAACAACGAAACCTCTGACGGTCGGATGTAAAATTTTCCCCACCGACTTTATTCTTTTCGTCCATATTAAAATTTCAGTTGTAGACGACAATATTTAATTAGTAACCTCTTTTGGAAAATAAGTGCTATTGTAATAATTATTGTATTTATTTTATTTATTTAAAAGATAATAATGTTTAACTAGCAACTTTTTCCGTGTAATAAATATTTTTATTCATTGCTTATAAATACTTTATTATATAATAAAGAAGTACTTTTATTTTATTACGTATTATATATAATATTACGCTTGTACACTACTGAAACTTTGATAATCATGTTCAAAATTCGAAGTTATAATTCATGAAAGTGTTATAAGTTTATTTCACTTAGAAAAGTGAAAAGTATTCCAAACATTTGATGTCGATTGAACAATATTATGGGTTCTGAATAAATTAATAATATTCAGAGTACGTTACGACTCTTGTTTCGAATAATTTCGAAGGTCTTCTCCTCTCAATCATTTACATTAAACAAAGGGAAAATGTTAAGAAAATATCTCCGAAATCATTTTACAATGGAAAGCAGAATGCAATTTGTAAAAATTGACGGAATAAGTATATAGATCTAACGTAGAAATTGTGTGTCATAACAATAATTTATATTGTTCTTTCAATGCTAGAACAACCGATATCTAAAGTTTCGTACGAGAGAAATGAAAGACAAAGAAAAAAAATTGATAATAAGCTTTATATATGTATATATTTCATGTATTTTATAGAAAGAATTTTTATAATTTGTATACTTTATAAAATAAATCATTCAAAAAATTCACCATTGTAAATAATTTATCATATTACCGCCAAGCAATGATTTATCATAGCATTACAAATACTATTATAAATATTATTCATAATATTTATAATATTAATACTATTATAAATATTATTCATAATATTTATAATATTAATACTATTATAAATATTATTCATAATACTTATAATACTATTATAAATATTATTATATTTATAAGTATAATATATATATTATATATATTATATACTATTATAAATATTATTATTATACTATAAATATTATTATTATATTATGATACTTATAATACTATTATAAATATTATTATAAATATTATTCATAATATTTATAATACTATTATAAATATTATGAATTTCACACATAAATAAATTTATGAAATCTCTTTAAATTTCGCAAAATTATCATTAAATTATTTAAATTTCATAAAGCCTGTTGGAACACATCAATAACAAAGAATATGAAACAAATCCTTCGAATGAATGAATTGAATTTGGTAATGTAAACTGATTGAAAAGAATTGCCTTGTACTTGCGAAAAACTACGAATTTGAATACTTTGGTAGTTCTGACGTTGATTGATGCTTCGAAGGTGTTTTAGATTAACATTGGTAATTATATTAGTGTTTTCTAAAGTCATCGTCATGCTTTCAGAGTCACGAAGCTGGATCGCAAACATTGTCAAACCTGAATCGACCAAGGACAACATCCATGCAGCGACCTGAGAAAGCAGGACCTGTTTTCAGCCAGACAGGACACGCCAAACTTTGCGACGTTTGGAAAAAAAGATCCAGAACCTGCGTTCACAATCCTGAGGTCAATTCACCCGATTGGATCTGCGGGTATGTACATACATATGTATTTGATGTGCCACAACACTGGCGCAGAATTCGAGGTTGGTTGTGAATTCCTAAGCGACTCTATTTAGGATTGAATCGAGGCATTAAAAAGAGTATTAAATATTTTGTCATATTAACCCTTTTTTTTTTTTTTGTCAGAAATATAATAATAATTTTAGAGAGTTATAATAATAATTAAAGAACATTAAATATTTTGTCATATTAACCCTTTTTTTTCTCAGAAATATAATAATAATTTTAGAGAGTTATAATAATAATTGAAGAACATTAAATATTTTGTCATATTAACCCTTTTTTTTCTCAGAAATATAATAATAATTTTAATACAACCTATTTTAATGCAACCAAGTGTGAAAAAAGATTTAAATATGGAATATTTTTGAACGATTGGTCTTTTGTAGTGGGACCATATAAGTGTATTGATATGCTTCAGAGAAAATTATATATGTAATTATGTAAGGATAAGTTTATTTATTGCACATGTTGGTTTTATTGAACTCACACGGTTTTAGTATATTTTCGTAGGAACATGTCTTTTTTTTTTTACGGCCTTCCATGTGAAAAATTATTTTTGTTCTAGAATTAATTTGTTCTTAATTTTATTTCAAGTTAAATAGACTCTATCGTACGAATTAAATTTGTACTAAATGGATTATATTAAGATTAATCGTCTCTTTTTTCTTCTCCAACTTCAATAGTCGGAGTTTAATTTATTGTAAGACAATCTTCTCTAAACTAGAAACATACCTCTCTCTTGTTAAATCGACAATTTAAAAAATAGGTGACTTTCTGTCAGTTTTTGAAGATATTAATCATCCGTTTTTTTAAATTATTTAGCAAGAGAGTGGTAATAATTAGAAATGCAAAGATATTCTTTCTCTAATTTAGAGAAGATTGTCTTACAACAATTCGACTATAGTTAGAGAAGGGGAACGGAAACGATTAGTCGCGAGGATACAGTTAATATTTCTTTATACAAATGATTGAATAAATTTTCGTAGGATTATATAAATTCTTTGATTCATGGTCAGCGACGCAAAACACGCTCTGAATTGCATCAGTAAAAATAATAAATATGAATGATTTCTAGTGAACGTGCGAAAGGTATCGGTAGTTTTCGAAAGCATTAAACAAGAGACAAGCCCGTGTTTCAATTTCATTGCTTGAGGCACTTTTAAGCTAGTTTTTCTTTCAAACG